GAAGTTAATTTTATCCTATACATTAGAGTAAAAAAAATAAGCAATATTTTAAATGGCCGATTGTTCCTATGACAACTATATAGTCAACAGAGCTGACCTGTTCTTACTCTTGTATACTTGGAAAAAAGAAGACGATTCGCTAGGTTTTATTCAGATAACTGAGACTCGTTAGCAAATATTTTTCAATGCGAAACCAATATGTTCCAATATATTCGACTAAAAAACATAATCTCTCTTAGAAGGGTATTCTATCAGCCTTTAAATGAAGTTTTAACTTATAGAACTTCCTCTACACTTGCCAACTAAATCACAAAACCGGGGAAACCACAAATCTATGGGCGACTTAAAGGCCTTAATCGTGCTCAACCCGTCTCCCAGCTGCCTCTATTGGCCGTCTAATGCATTTTTGTCATTCGAAATGCCGAATTTTGTGCACATTTTATTGGCCAGGCTAAGAGGCGTATTAGGAGTTGTGTTTGGAATTCATTCGTTTTGTTTTCGCTGTTTGTTTCTATTGCAAAAAAAAAAATAGATATATATATATACCCGTGTGCGTGTGCAGTGCTTGGTTTTCGGATTTCGGAGTAGCAGTTGCTAGCAGTAGCCCAAGGTTGCGCCAAAATGGCTTGCGCAATTCCGCTGCTGGCGGCCCGAACGTGGTGTTTTGGCCAGAAGCACGGAGGTAACTCGGATTCTTACCCAAGAATGTGGCGGTCGTTGGCGTTTCGAAGTGCTCTGGCCAATGCCAGGCCAATAATGCTCTATTGCTGCCACGAAAATTAGGTGAAAACATTTTCATTAGTTTAGAGCACAAAACCCAGGCGGCATGACGAAAATTATGGAAATCTCAAGACAAGTATGTATATACACATATGATGCGAATGGCCTACCTGTTGAGCTGCATGAGGGGTTTACTGGAAGACAGAGCCTCTCTTTTTCGGCGGCCTTTTCTGCTCTCCCACTGGCTACCTGAGATATTTTGAGCGTTCTCCGGAGAGCCGAAATTGTTTCAAAATTTAGCTCAAAGAGGCACTGGAAATCGGAACACCGGGCCTGGAAAACACAGGTGAGGAGTAGAGGAAGTTTACAATAGAAAATATTATGTTGGGATTATGTGAATATTTCTGTATAATTTTAAAGCATAAAAACTGAAATTTGGAGACATTGTAATCCGAATTTTTATAAATTTTATCATGTTTATATACATAAAACCCTTAAATTAAACTTATCTTATATTAGTTTCATATTCAAAAGTTAATTGTTCAATGCCTTTTCCTGTAAATAATGGAAAAGTTTTTATATTAAAAGAAAATTGCTTTTAAAATAATTATTTTCCGCTTGGGAATTCTTATCTCCTTAACCTATTAGACCCGAAACGTGGCCCCAAAAGTGGGGCTCTGTGCCCATACTCCGTCCCTGATTAAGCACTCAAACGGTTATCGCCGAATTCCCCGAAGTCAGCAATATTTCAGAGCGATATAGAGAGGGAGAGCGCTGACCAAAGCAGCGGAAATATCATTCCAGCCAGGCCAGACCGGACCCAGCCATACTCCGGCCTCGGAGCGATGCGTTCATTTGGAAACTGAAGCGAGAGGCGAGCGGTTGTGTTCGCTCCGCAGCTTAAATCCCACTGTAGTTCCAGTCGAAGGCTGACTGTACCCATTACATATAGCTTTGATATAACCTTTGTAATCTGCGCATTTGAGGTGACAAATTTAACGCATATTTGTTTACCGTGATCTACGCAGAGAGATTAAAACTGTGTCGATTACCGTGTTAAATCAACTAGAAATCAAGTGTGATGTTAACCCCGTAAGACTCAGACACGTGTTTGTCCAAAGAAGACCCCATTCTTTGGTCAGCTCGCCTAGAAACTTGGAAACGGCCAATGCCACGTGCCTGCTCCACACGCAGCGTGTTGACAAAGGCCAGAAATTGTACAATACATTAGGTTAGTTTAGGGTTTTACAGAAAAAAATGCCCCTTTTATCGGTTGAAAACATGCACATGGCTTTGAAAATATTGAAAACTGTCTTTATATTTAATGCTGAAGCTATTTACATAGTCCAGAAAGTGACAAAAGTTACTCTTGGTAAACTTAGCAGCAGGAACAGAGAAATATAAGTTATACTTAAGCGGGCGAGCATTTATTCTATAATGCCTAACCTTAACAAATTTGCGATGAGAGCGAGGGAAACGTAGGAAAAACAAAATGAAGAATGAAATTATATGTATGTGATGGCGGAGGGCTGGTGCCAAGCAGCTACATAGCCCTATTTCTCTTTGGCAACGTGCGACTTGCGGCTCTTGGGCTCTGGCGGATCGATTAGATTGCCATGACGCACAACGTCGATGTGGCCCAGGCGTATCATCTTCTCCTCCCACACGGAAATAGCTTTTCTGCAAGGAAAATATGAATATTGGTTACAAGTTGTGGTTGCTTTTGGTCAATTTTAAACAAAAAATTAGTTTAAATATGTTGTCTAGAGATTTCTTTCTGCGTTAGAAAATGTGGTTATTCCAGAAAAACGTTCTTAAGTCTTCTTTTAAACTAAATAGCAATAAATATTCCCATTTTAAGACGCTTATTCCCAAAAATCCCTACGCACCTGTAGATCTCCAACTCCTTGCGCGACTCCTGCATGTAGGACTCCTTCTCCGAGTCCGTAAAACGCGTCCACTTGGCCGTCGTCTTCTGGTGCCACTCGCGGTAGGTCTGCTTGGGGCCCTGCGGCGAGTTGGTGCGCTCACTGGCAATGAAGCGCAGGAAGGCGGAGGCAGGCTTCTTGGGACGACCAAGCTCTTTGACTCGCTTGCGCAGCTGCCGGCGCTCCTTGGCATCGACAAGGTCCTGCTTGAGCTGCTTGATCTCCGCCCGCTGATCGTCCGTAAGCGTGGCATCGTACTTGGTGCGTTGCTCCACATATACCTCCTGGTCCTTCTTGTACTCGGCCTGCAGGCGTTCCTTTAGCTTGGCGTCCGCATCTGACCAGCTCTTGGACAGCTGTCGCACTACCTCGATGGTGGTGATCTTCGGATTGGCGGCCACCAGCTTGGGACGCTGCTCGCGCATGAAGCGGAAGTAGGGGGTCAGCGGCTTCTTGGGCCTCGGCGGCAGGCCCACCTGCTCCTCCAGCGTTTTCGACTGCACCGCCGGACTGTGGCTGATGCCGGCGGCTGCCAAAGGCCTGTTGGGTGTGAGTGGTCTGTTGTCGGTGTCATTGGGTGGAGGAGGACCAAAGCCGGAGGCCTGCTCCTGGGCTACAACTTGCCTGACTTTGCTCATCAGCGAACCGAAGAGGCTGCCGCGCGCGGACTGTAGCGTTGTGGTGAAGATCATTCTCTGGCTGGTGCTCCGCAAAGGTTCAATATCCAGCGATGTCGAAAGGAAAAGCTCGGAAAACTTGTTGCATTTACCAAAAATAAGTTTTACGTAAAAAATGCGGCTTTTCTGGCTAGAGTTGCCACATAGTGCGTTTATTTATTAAGGCGCTGCCAACCTGTACAATAGTTTTTGGTATTTTTTAGCAAAACTAGACAAATAAATAAATTAAATTAAATAAACAACCAATTCTTTGAATTAAAATTACACAAATATTTGATAAAGTAGAAAACTAAACATCAACTGGCTGTCAATCACATGTGTAATAACAGATTTTGCGGCAGACAGTTTGCTGTATATTTTGGTATTCTTTCGGTGCTGGGTATATTTTAACGGTCGGTCACACTTCGGCACCCTCTCCTATTGTTTTTCATAGTTTTAATTAAAAAATCTAAGATAAATCCCGCCGCCAGGATGACCAACAACGATGCAGCAGTCGAGGCTGCTGGCTCCAGTGGTGCCGGAGGAAGCAAGCAGCAAACCAAGCTGGAAATCACAGAAAAGGTGCGCGTGCTCTGCCTGCATGGCTACCGGCAGAACGGAGATGCCTTCAAAAACAAGCTCGGCTCCTTCCGCAAGTTTGCCTCCAAGTATGCCGAGTTCGTCTTCATTACGGCGCCGCACGTGGCCGCAGCCCTGGAATCGGCGGCAGAACCTGTGCCGGAGCAGCGTAGCTGGTGGGCCAACAAGGACGACGGCACCTTCAAGGGCACTAACAGGGGTGGACCGGCTTTTGGTTTCCAGGAGAGCCTGCGTTGCGTGGAGGAGGCGTGGCGGACACAGGGACCGTTCCAGGGACTGTTGGGTTTCTCGCAAGGTGCCTGCTTCGTGGGTCTGATATGTGGACTGGCCAAAAAGAAGCGTAAGTTGTAATAAAGAGTAAAAACTAAGACGACTTATACTGCTGTTTTTCCCCCATAGTAACCTCCATTCGGCCGGAATTTGCTGTGCTCGCCTCGGGCTTCCTCTCCGGCAGTTTGGTGCACATGAGCGCCTACGAAGAGCCCATCAGTATACCCACGCTCCACATATACGGCCAAACGGATGAGATTATACCCAAGCAGATGAGTGAATCGCTGGCCGCTCAGTTCAAGAACGTCGAGGTTCTCGAGCACAGTGGCGGTCACTACTTTCCCGCTACGGCGCAGCAGAAGCAGACGTTCATTAACTTCTTCCAGGATCGGCTGCAGGAGTACCTCGAGCACCAGGAGCTGCAGCAGAGCGGCAACGCCTCGTTTGTTGATGAGGACGGCGGTGGCAGTGATGCCAACGACGCGGAGGTGGCCACCATGACTGCGGATCTGGATGAGAGTGATTAGCTTGATGGCGGGGGGTTTCTTTGTTTGTTTTTAATAATAATTAAATCTTATTATTACAAAAATAATGATTTGATTATAAATTATAATATAATTAGATCCCAATATTCATTAAATATTCACCGTATTTCTCTCTGCTTACGAAGGATCGTGCCGGGAAATCCGGTTATGGGCTTGCGGTGTCGGGAATTGAAATTTCTGCAGCATGCGGCATATTTCGCACATTACTTTGTTTTTATGACTGTGTATTTTTCAACAAATTCGTATAAATTCCATAAAAAAGAAACAAACAAGAGTGGGGGTAAAGTTAAAGCCGAATATTATAGATCCCATTCCAAAGTACAATTTGTTGTTGTGTTAGAATCATAGTGAATTGTTCCTTGCTATAAACAACGAAAAAATGCATATTTAGCTATTGCGGCTGCAGTTGTTGCTGTTTTGCGTTCTGACCAGTCGGACTCGAAGATATTCGCAGCCCAATTCGAAGGAATCGAGCACGGATATCGCCCTTCCGTTCGGCATTTCATTTCATTAATTTTTCGTTTGCGGGGGACAAAAGCGAGCGACAGTAGGATTGAGTCTCTGGATATTTAGCGGATTTAGTTTGTCTCGTTTTGCCACACACTTCCTGTGGCATAGTCGATGCGGCTGCTTCTGCTGCTGCTTTTGATGATGTGGTTGCTGCTGTTTATTGTTTTCGTAGGGGTGATTGACTGACTGACTCTGACTGCTCCTTTATGCAACTTGCTCCTGTCCGTTCGAGGCCTCTTGGTTTTTCATCACTTCAGGTAAGTCTGGTGGTGCCGAGTATGGTGACATGTCCAGTGTCTCAAAATCGCCCACTTCGTTTCTGCAAGGCAAAAAAAAAGGTCATTAGGATCGTGTGCCCAGTTAGCATCTGCCTGCAACCCATTGAACGGGACACGTGCCGGCTGCGAGCTGCGTCCGCTAGATAACCCGCGCAGCTCTAGCTGCTTATCAGCTCAGTCTCAGTCTCAGAGCAGCAGCAACAACAACAAACGCTCGCTCACCTGAATGTCAAGCCCAGCTGCGCCGGAGACTGCGCCTTGGCCGTGGACACCGTCACGCCGTAGTCCTGCAACGTGCTGTCGTCCTCCATAACATCGTTGTCCTGATTGTATAACCGCTGGTCCACGGGCTGCACCTTCAGTATGCCTGCGGGAGTAAGCCAATCATGGAATTACCCAATATTGCCAATCTATAAATAGGGGAACACGCACACTCAGCCACCGGCTGGCTGACCGTCGGCTCACCGCACTCACCTTCAATCATTCGCTTCAGTTCGGCCACTGTTGTGTTCTCCTTGGCGTCCGTGAAGATGGTGGTCTTCTGTCGCCTGATCATAAGAAACACGTCCTGCAAGGGGAGTGGGAGAGGGAGAAGTGCGTGTGAGTGAGCGTTTCATTTTGCTTCGGTCAAAGTTCAGTGCTGGCGTGTGAGTGTGTTACGCTGGATCACCGAGCACTTGCTGCCGGTGGCTTTAGTTTCCACGGGCAGTAAGGCTATTCCAGGGACACACCGATAGGTTGGTTTCAGCCTGGCCTGATCACCGAGGTGACCGGCTTGGAGCGTTGCAAATTGCTCACCATGTTGCCGAGTTTGTGGCGCTGACTGGAGCTTCGTCGAGCACTGGATTGATGTGGTGGCGAGCCAGGGGCTGAGTGGGGCTAATTCACACGCTAGTGCTGATGACGGCGTGGGCGGCGCTTCCTTTGGCTGGCGCGGATTTCGAGCGGCTGGAATTTTCCTCTTCGCTTGCACCACCGCTGCTGCCGATTTCGGGCTGCTGCTGCTGCTGCTCTTGTGGTGGCGACGGACGCGGGCACGGGTGTTCGGAGAGCGCGGATAGTGGTCCGGCGTGTGTGCAACAGCTTCCTCGGTTGCCCCGCACTTGTAGGTTTTCGTAGTTTTACGATTTTTTCTCGCCTTTTTCCTTGCTGCTGCTTTCTCAACCAATCATTTGGTGGTGCTGCCAACTCGATCCGAAGGCGATTTGTTATCGATATGGAAAACAAAGGGGTTTTGTTTAAAAGGTACTAATTTCGGCATTGGTTGCCATGGCAAATATTAATTAGAAAGCAAACGTTTTTCTTGTATGATACTTTTAAGCTAATTTTTTAAATATATTCCACAAATGGTTTTCGCTTGGTTTTCTTCTAGAATTGTAAGGCTTTTGGCAGCCCTGGTTGGCTCTACGGAAAATGTCCTAAAAAATCCAGGCTTAACTGTCAGTGTCACTTCGCCCATTTCTCTCTTTTTTATTTGCCACGAAATGGTTTTGCTGGACAATTCCAACGTAAATAAACCGAAAACAACTGCTTTAAATAGAAAATTAACCGTTTCTAATTGCAGTTCATCCTGCGCCTGGAGAAGATCGCCAATGCGGCGAAGAAGGACTCCTCCTTTACGTTAACATTCAAGCGCTGTGAGTAGAGCTCCCCATTAATGGCATCGTGTCCGAGGAAAACAACAATAATAATAATATGTTTTCAGATGATGGCCACGACAAGCCCGTGCCCAGAGCCGGCAGACCGCCATTGCCCAAGCCAGCTACCTACATGTGCCTAATTCGAGCCCAGTCCAAGTCGCAGAAGGTAACACCGCCCCGGTTCCACCTTGAAATACCTTTGCTATATCCCAATGTTTCTTGCAGATTTCCACCGTCGTGCGCCAGGAGGATGTGCCCACAATGATGGGCATGTACTCGCAGTTCATGAAGAGCAAAATGGATGGCCTGAAGCGCGTGAAGAAGGTGAAAAGCAAGGCCAAGGCGACGAAGGGATAGTGTGTGGGGCTGGGAATATGAGTTCGTGGGTCTTAGGTAGATTTTATTTGACTGTTACCAGGTCTTTCGTTTTAAATGCATAATTTTCTACAACACTCTCGGCTTTTATTTAATCGGCTTGTAGAGATCTTTCTGCTGGCAGAGATCAAGCAGCCACTTGGGCAACTCTTTCTGCCGCAGTCCGTAGATGTGCTTCGGTCTTATCAGGTGAGCGAGAGCGTAAAGATCCTCATTTAATGGCGCTCCATCCAGAAGTCCTTCGTCTACATACATTACATCGATTCCCTGGCCAAGGCCCCGATGAAAGGATAAATTGCCTTTGGGCAGGAAGTCCAAGACGCCTGAAAGGCGGTCTACAATGAGAGCTCTCGTGTGGCCATCTAAAAAGAAGACCCCGTTAGTTTACTGGACATGATTTCAGGGAAAAACTAACTCTCTATGTAGTATAGGTGCATTTCCAAGGCATCTTTGCTTTTTCCCACTGGTATCAAGGTGACTGTGATCTCGGTTTCACCATGCTCTATTTTCGTGGGCTTATTGGGCCTCAACGTTTTCAATGTGCAGTTCGCAAATTTGGAGCTTTTAAAAGTATTCTGCAGTCTCAGACAACAGAGATCCGCCTCCGATCCAACGACGACTTTAGACCATTTTTCAGGAACAACATGATCTTTAAAGGCGACAGACGACAGGAGCAGTGCTCCACTGTGCTGGAGAATTAATTTAATTTATTGTTTTCAATAAATTATTGAATCCTCACCTCCTCAAAGGGACCATATTTCTTTCCAGGCTCCAATATAAGGGGCTGTCCCAGGTCATTTAAAAACATTATCCGCCAAATGTCCTTTTTTTTTAGAAATTCACTGAGTTGGTGTGAACAATGCTGGCTGACGGAGAAATCCAATTTGCGGCGAAAATAGTATCACTTACGGTAACACTGTTTCGCCGCTGAAAGAACTTCGCCGTTGAGTTTGAAACAACGCGAGTAATTTTAAAAAAGCAAAGCCATGATAAAAATATATAATTAATAATTATTATTTATATATACACTACAGTGCGTTAACTTTTCCGAATTATATAATGGCACGATTATCATTGATTTGTATGTTTATTATATACCCTTGTACGATTAACAATGCAAAAGATTCAGGATACCTTCGGGACCCGTTTTAAAACAGAGACCAAGAAGCCCCTACAAGTTCTTGGGATATTAGAGAAATTAACTTGACTAAAAATCGATTTAGTTTTTTAACTATTTATAGTTAATTAACACAATTCCGGGGCGTTCTATATAGTTTTTTTTAAAATAAATTGTATAATAATTAATTTATTTATTAATAAATATATAAATCATTATATATAATAATTAATTTATTTATTAATAAATATATAAATTAATTATTATTAATTACTAAATGTTACTAAAATCTTTTTAAATGAAACTTCACAGATGGTATTCTTCGGATTTTTATTTGTAAGTCGTTACGGGCCCGATCGGATTACTATATCACATATGTAGATGCCATATGAACGATTGAAAAATTTTTAGAACAAAAATTATAGCTTCGCTTTTTTATACCCTTGCAGGGTATTATAATTTCAGTCAGAAGTTTGCAACGCAGTGAAGGAGACGTTTCCGACCCTATAAAGTATATATATTCTTGATCAGCATCAACAGGGGAATCTTTCTAGATATGCCAGGAAGAAATCGATTTTTTTTTGACCATTTTTGCAAAATTTTATAAGGGGTTATTAAAATTATCATAAAAATGTTTGATTTTGATAAAAAATTGAATTTTCAAATGTCAAATTTTAAAATGAAGTATGCAGATTTATTAACTGTAGGAAATCTTGCACAGAACAGTTTTCCGATTTAAAATTAATGCTCTTTTGGCCGAGTTATGATATTTTTAATTTAAAAAAAATCAAGAAGTTTTTTAATACAAAATAATATTTTTCTAAGTCAAGAAATCATTTCCGACCCCATAAACCATATATATTCTTGATCAGCATCAACAGGGGAATCTTTCTAGACATGTCCGGAAGAAATCGATTTTTTGGCCATTTTTGCGAAATTTGATAAGGGGTTACATCATTAAAATTAGCAAAAATTGTCAAAAATTTTAATTTCTTAAAATTTTAAATTTGGTATGCAATTTTTTTTGGCTTATAAAAACTAACACAAAACCGCTTTCCGAATCGAATTTAATGGATTTTTGGCTTTTTTATGATATATTTTAATTTTAACCTGCAAGGGTATACAAACTTTGGCTGGCCAAAGTTAGCTTTCTTTCTTGTTTTTTATTATTTTAGTAATACATTAGAATACATACATATATAGTTCCCTAACAAGCATCTGCCCCTTCTGCAACATCTCGGCGATAAACATCCAGCATATTCTAAAAGACTGCACTGCACTTTCCCTAATTAGAACATTATCCTTTTCCCACGATAACCCAATCCATCTCCTTGCGAATCAAACAGCAGCGAACACTAAGAAAGTCGACTTCTTTCTACACATAACATAAATACTTCAACAATTTATTAATACACAGTCGGAAGGCACAGCAACTAATAATTTACTCATGTAAATAAGTTAACTCTTAGTTTTTAACCATTAGTTAGCTTTATATAAATAAAATTTATAAAATATATCAATACAACAAATTAAGATATAAAAAAAGTTGAAAATAAAGACTGAAATCAAAGTAAAAAAAGAAACTCATCATCCAAAGAAATATAAACGACAGCCTCTACTTTAGCTTTTAACATCTTGCTTTTATAAAATTTAATTTAAAGTATAACCCAAGGGCTGCTAGGTTTCTTTATAAAATATTCTACATTTAATTTACAGTCAATTTCCACTGGGCTACCTATCTAACTTATTTAACTAAATAAGTAAGTAAGTATTTTAAAAAGTAAGAAAGCTATTTCAAGTTCCAGGACTAGATTCATAATTATAAGTGCTCTGGATAAGCTGGGATGTGCTAAAAGATATCTATTCTCAAGACCCTTACCTTGGTGTTAGCCCGTATTTGCAAGAAAGACTTACAGATTCCAAAAAGCAATCGCGAGTGCCAACCGGTTTGGCTAGAAGCCGAATCTTCACTTAAATTGCGTACACACAAAAAACAACAAATACAGAAGGTAACTACAAATTTAATTCATTTGGCTGAGAACAAAAATAACCAATAGAAAAAAAGAATTAAATGCTTAATGTTCGGCTCCTCTCTTCCACTTTACGCTTTTATTTTTTTGTCTTCGTCAACAATTGGCACACGATCAATCATTATGTCGCTTCTACCAAAAAATTTTACTTGCCAAAAAAAAAATCAGCGGTGTGGTTTGGATAATACCCTCTGAAATAAAAAGCTTGGGATTGTCTTTGTTTGAAAATACTTTTTCCAAGGTACAACCATTGGCGAATACTGTGAATATGATCCCCAAATTCAACTCCCACTAATGGCCCACAGGTAAACGTTTCGTAAAAAAAAATTGGTTTTGGCACAAGTCAACCTGTTTGCAAAAGCACAGGTGAAGGGGGAATCGATCTTTGCCCATCTCTTGTACCAGTAATTAAGTAACTTAATTAATTTCACGCAAAAACAAAGCTAACAAAAAAGTTGCCTGGCTTTTGCAAAATTTCTATTTCAGCGACGGAATATATTTTGCATAATTTTACGTTCGCCGTATACATATTATAGAATTTGATGGATATTATTTTGCTTATCTCCTGAAAGGGTATAATTTGATTAATTTTCTGCGCGAAGCTTGGCATATTTCGGGGCTTAGTTCATTTCGTTTTGCTTTGTGATGAATTTGGCTATCTGATTTTAAATCTTAAACTAAAGTGTTTTTATTACGAAAAAAATTTAATCGGGCATTAAGCCATTAATAAGAAGGTGTTGCGGAAAAGGCAAGTGATAAAATAAATATGGGAATTAATTTTTAAAGTAAAGTTGGAAGACCAAGTAGTCTGAAAAGACTTTAAAAAATTTCTGAAAGTATCTTCTCTACATTTTTGTATCCTTTTTAGTTTACACAGCTGCTCTGGTTCATAATGCCCTTTCAGAAGATTTAAATTATAATAATTAAAATTATTACTTGTGACTAATGAGCAAATATTGATTTAGAATTCTGCCAAAGGCGTTTCAAATCGATAGAGACAATGCTGAAATATGCAAAATAGATCAACAAATAACCCAAGGAAAAAGGATTCATCCTTAGGAGGACTAGAGAGAGGTCTTTACTCCCTGCAGGGGGATCTTGGGTTGTTTACCTAGCCGGCTGACCCAGATGAGCGTCTTTGCAGCTCACAGGACACACCTTGGTCCTGCGCATTAACAGAAATTTCAGAAAAAAAAAACGTAATTTAAATAATTTACGTATTTTTCTGTTTCAAAGAGTATACGATTTTTTTTTTTCGTTTAGACCTCGTTTTTTTACGGAGGATAAATGAAAAATGATGTTTGACCCTGTCCTGCTTGGCGACGCACCCTTCTGCCTTGATCACGTATGCAAATGCGAGACGTTGTCCCGGAACCGTGCATAGCTCTCTCGGGTTCTCTCAACCCTTTGGGCGTCCGATCCGCGAACGTGTTGTGCATAAATTAAGGCATCCTTTCGTCCTCTTTTGTCCTCTCGCCCTTGGCGGTTCGCGCAAGGAAACGCTTCCGCATGGAAATGAGGTAAAAAATCCGGATTTTTTTACTCCTTGTCTTCTGGGCCCGTCTGTCGTCCTTGTGCTCGAGTCCTTTCATTATCCTTGATCGTCACCCTGAGCCTCGAGAGCCCTGTGTGTGTGTGTGTCTTGGGCTGTGGGTAGCCTACAAAAAAAAAAAATCGTGAGAAAATTTCCAGCGCCAAATATTCAAATTAGGTAACCAAATGCCGCTCGTTGCATACTTTTTTGGGTGATTTTTTATGTCATCCTAAAGGAAAAAAAAATCCCGGACTGTGAGCTCATCCTTGCAGCCCTTATTGTTGGGCTCTGCAGTTTTTTAACCCATTTTTTTTCCTTTTTGTATTTTTTGGTCCCTAATTTTTTATGCTTGACTACCGAAAAAAGTCGTTTATAATTGCATCGAGTTCAGCTTTTTTGCCGCGTATTTTTTCACTATTTTTAAAATGTTCAAATCCCGTGTGACAAGTTTTTTTTTGGTCGTTCGTTTTGATTGTAGTTCTTGTAGTAGCCGTTTTTTATCCAAATTTTTTGTGGGTACTTTTTTTGTCATGAGAGTCGAAAAAAGCAGCTTCCCGACAAAGGGCGGTGCGAAAATGGTAATTAAATGTTTGTTAGTGCGTCATTTCATGGCGGCATCCAGCTCGCAATGTCCTTTATTTCAATTACGCAGTTAACATTAAGTTTTTTGCCATTTTATTTTTTTTTGTATTTAACACGTGTTGGTTGTCAAGGATTTATTTTGGAAATCGTAACAATTTGAAGGGGGATACAAGCTAGGGTTTGGTTCGAGTAATTGTAAACATTGTTAAGTGCTTGATAAGCTTAAAAAAATTGATTGTTCATGAAAAAAAACTTTATAATTGGATTTTGAATTTAATAAACTTACGATTTATATAATATGTAAAAAAACAAGGTCGTGAGAGCATGATGTAAGTAAAAATATTGTTTGGAATCATAAAAATATATTAAGTAGGGTGTAGTCCGATATCTTGAAATAGCTTAATATAAAATATAATATTTTATTTATCATATTTCATTATTTTAGAAAGCAGAAATGATAATGACAATGAAGGAACTACCATCTGTGAGGTATTACTCAACCTTCATCCAACATATGTTGATCTTTTATAATGAAATACTATCTCGAACAAGAAATATTTATCAGACAACTAAAAGCAAGGAAGTGAAACTCAATATGTAAAACACTCACAGAATGCATTAAGTAAATGGAATCGCATTTGGGATGCTGAAAGTCAAACAAATGCAAATATGCATTAACCACTAGAGCCTTCAAATCGTCTTCGATTTACTCATAAAATTCGCAATCAAAACGCTTAATTAAAATGCCTGCAAACCTTCCTTTTTTTTGGCAATGTGCCAATATTCGCTTAAGTATCAATTACGAAACAATCGAAATGATAAAGGGGAAATCAATCCAAACACAGGAACGGCCCAGAAAAAGAAACCTCAACCTCAACAATAGGGCCATAGAGTGTGCCCTCCAGTTTTGGGTGTGCGAATATCCATTCAGATCAAAGGGTGCAAATATGGTTATAAGAATAGCTAACGAAAATCGCATCAAATTTCACAATATCGCACCTTATTAGAATCGAACAATACGTTGGTATCACAATTGGCAAGGAGCTCAGTGTGTCTATCGACTGAGAAAGGATGAAATGCAAATGCCACAGGAACAAGAAGTTATGGGAAAAACATACACACCTTCGTGCCATTCTCTTTCGAACTGTTCAAAGCCCAGGCTAATCGGTGGAGTGTATCCGCATATTGTGTGCATTGTATAATAATTTCATAAATAGTTTATCCAAAAGAATCGCTGAATGGCGAACCGACTAAATGCCATACCGGGGAACGGGTTGCACGAGAGAAAGAATCCCTCTTCGAGTCCCTTTCAGTTGCTAAGAAGAACGAGTCCTTCTCTGGGGTGAAAGGTTTTTTTATTTCGGCGGATGTTTTGTGTGCAACCCCTGATGATGATCGGTTCCTACTATCTCTCTTTCCCTTGCTTTGGGTGTGTGTTTTGATTTCGGGTCTGGAGTTTAGAAACCATAAATCTATTGATGGCTTTGATGACGCCTTTCTGCAGGCACCAAAATGATCTCTTGGCATTGAAACTGCATAGACAATATTCAAATGAAAGTAGTTTTGCATAATGCCCTTTTCGAAAACTGATAAATGAAGTAAAATGCACTGAGAGAAAAGCTGAAGAGGTAGTTACATATTAAGGTTTTTTTTATAAAATTTTAGTCAGCCTTTGATAATGTTTTAGAAAATGGTTTTTAAACTTGAAATCAAGTAGGAAGAGGAAAATCTATAATGAGTTCTTGTTTAGTTAATGATTACAATTTGAAAGGTTATTTGAATCGAATAATTTGAGCACATATTTCATCTTTAATTTAAACTCTGTTTGCAGGGTAATGAATAAAAAATAACAGATTAATTTTGTAATATTTCTAGAGTTGTCTTAAGCTCTTTTTTTTAGTGCCCACTCGGGAGGTCTTCCTAGACAGATGCCACTCTCAGGGAAGAGCTGCCTGTCTGGCCTCGGGCACTGCATTCTAATTATCATATCGATCAAGCTGCAAGTAAAAGTGACAGTCCCAGGACCAAGAACCCAGCCGGGACATAGTCCTCATTTTTTTCTCATAGTTAGCATAACAAAGCCTGATGAGACTCTTCCAACGGGAACGAAATCGTGATGATTTCAGCACCCAAAGACAAGACAGACCCGTAAGAAAGGGAAAAGGAGACGGAGAAGAGCCACCCCAAAGATCGGGGACAATAACCACCAAACAATCCCATGATCATTAGTGCATCTATAATAATGCGCATTGATATGCTAATCGCGCGTAGACAGGACTTCGATGCCTTGAATGCTCCTCTATGATCGATGGCGATGGCTGGCAGAAATCAAATCATTTATCAATTAAATTATTGGCAAACATTGGGTTGCAGAGCCCTCAAAAAAAGGAAAAGGGTTCGCTGATGTGCTAAAAAGATTCCTTGCCCCCTTCGCCTTATTTTTGCATTGTGGAAGCCTTTGTTTTGCATTTTGCACAACTGCCAAATGATCGATTATCGATCGCAAAATCCCTTTTATCCCTGGGCTTTGTCCTTTGCGGTGTGTTTGCCAATTCTACTTTGATGATTTGTTGGTTTCTTGTCAGCGATCCTTGTAGCTGGCTCAAGGGTGTCCTGCCCTTTTTTGTTTTCTTTTTTTTTTTTGCCAAAGGATCGTGCCGAATTTTGGCAAAGACACCGATCTTTGTTGACAAACAAAGAATCCTTTTAGCGAGTTTATGTCTCTATCAACCTCTTTGTTGGCTGCCCTAACTCCTTTTGTGGGTGTCTATTTATTTCCAACAATCGCTATTGTTATGAGCTATTTAGGAGATTTTATTTCGTTTTTATTAGCGGCATAAAAAGATCATAAAAGCAGTTTTTTTTTTCTTTCTTTTTTTGTTTATTTAACAAAATTTGCTGCTATTTATAATCCCATTCAAACGCTGCGCTAAGCACATACAGAGGGAGTCAAGAAAAAAAAAGCGATATAAAGAGAGAAAATATAATATAATGAATACAAAAACACCTGTTAACAACTTAAACTGGTTTTGTGTGGGATTTTTAAATTTATTGTTTTATTAATTAGCTATGAAATTCGTTTTTGCTTGAAGATATTTCAGATAAACCCTAAACAGTTGGTCATATAACTTGGATATCAGCTTACTAATCCGTCAAAGGTCTTAAGATATCTGTAACTCCATCACCCTTCAGTGTAAAAATCTCCAAGTTCAGTAATTTCTTAAGTAGATCGAACTCTTCCGACTTCAAGTTGCAAGTCGTGCAGAGTGAAGAAGTCTTGAAAATTTTAAGCGACGCTGAGCTAGTTTTTTTATATCAGGTAAAAATACCCGCGTATATGCAAAACACATCGAAAAGAACTCAAGACAAAATCCAATCCAGTAAAATGAATCATTCTCATTAATCTCCCAGTCGATGGGCCGACCAAAAAGTTTCAAGACTCAATCAGTCATCAATCATTAATCGCCATTCGAGCGCAGCCAAGCATTTTGATTCGAGGGAACCTACATATCTGACAGAGCACTTTTTTGGCGAGGCCAACCCCCCCTAAGAACTACGCCAGTGTCACGTCTTGGGCCAAGCGACCGAGGCAGCTGCCAGCGGCGAGAAGAGACTCAAAGATAAGCCTCGATCCGATTTCCCTGTGGATACTCCGATTATATGGGGTGAACATAAATCTCTTATGTCGCCTCTCTCTGTGGCACAAAAGGAGTTCCTTCTTCTTGAGGCTGCTAAGCGGATTAGGTTGCAGTTTTCTGGATCGTTGCATATTCGTACCGCTAATTAAAATGCTAATCCTGCGGCTGAATTAGAAAATGAATGTCTAGTTTTATTTTATAAATAATTTCCAAATTTATTAGGGTTTGAATTTTACACTTTCAAATCGATTTCTCACTTTCAGCTTGCCTAACAGGTAGAAAATATCCTTAAGATACTAATTGGTTGATAAATTAGAAAGTATCTAAAGTAGGTTTACAATACAGCACACATTTACATACATCTATGTACAATCTAGGATATATATATTATGTACTTGGTACGTCTGCTTATACTAAAACTGTGATCTATTCAAATTAAGCTCATTCGAACAGTTCAGAGTTTTACTTTACATATTGCTTAGTGATAAATCTAAAAGGGAATTGGGAAATATAAATATCGTATAGAAAATCCTGAGTTGACCTAGATGAAATATTCTTGAAATCGCAGAGGCATGAAGCTAAAGCATTGCAGTTGGTTTCCTCTTCGGTCTTGGGCAGTGATAAGAGTTGTTCTTTGCTTCTGGCTGAATCGTATACAACATTAAGGTGTTTTTGGATATGTGAAAAGTTTGGGCTTAGGAAAACCAGCTGCAATGCTATGCTCCACTGCCAATTTGCGCCTAACTAACTTCTAACTTACTGTTAGTTCTATCGTTTCAATTGGTTTGGGTTCGAGGATTAATTTAGTGTAACCTCGAGTCCAAACCAGTTTAAACGGAAGCCTTAAACTAGTGTCATCGTTGCTGCCTCTTTTGGCCACGAACCGGCCTGTACTATTGCGCCTTCTCCTTGGCCGCATTCACGGCACTCAGGCCCAGGGTGAGGTGATCGCCTGCGATGAGGCCCGCCGCTCCTGGCTGGTGGGCATAGTTCCGGATCTGATGCAGCGAAATGAGCTGAGTGGGAAAGGCGGCAGCTGCCGCAGCCGCATTTTGCTGATAAAGATATGCGGCAGTGGCCGCCGGCGGCCCGCGATGTTGCTGGAGATGAGGAGGCGGCGGTGGTGGTGCCACTGTGGCTGCCAGTGGAGTAAAAGCCGACGATCCGGGCCCAGGCGACGGCTGGTGTTGCGCCGGATGTTGTTGTTGCTGCTGCTGCTGCTGTTGCTGCTGAAGGTGATGCTGTGGCGTGGACTGTCGCAGGACAAGATCCTCGCCTGCGGCCTCCTCATGCGGACTGTGCGAGTGACCGGGCGTGTCCGCCAATCTCTGATGATGCTGCTGCAGCAGTTCCTGTTGCTGCTGCTGATGCTGTTGCTGCAGGGAGGCAAAGTTCCCGTAAGGCTGACCGGTGGCCTGCGGCAACTGTTGCTGTATGGCCTCCGCCAGCGAGGCCGCCGCACTGTCCGCCCCCATCTTGGCCCAGTAAGCAGCGTTAACGTCATTCATTGCCTGGCGTTGCAGATTCAAACCAATGCCGCCGGTCGGAACATGTTGCTGGTGGGCGGCTGTCACCTGGGTTGTGGGCCGATGCTGCTGCTTCTCCGCCTTTTCGGCGTGCTTCTGCAAATGCTTTTGCAGATAGGTCTCCTGCGTATAGGACTTGCCACACAAACTGCAAATGTGCGTCTTCAGGTGCTTGGAGTCCTTGTGCTTGGGTATGTGCTCCAACAGGGTCATCTCGTCGCCAAAGCACTTGTAGCAGGAGTTGCACTTGAACGGTTTGTCCGTCTGATGGCAGCGGGAGTGCGACTGCAGGTTCGAGAGCTGAGAGAAGGCCTTCGGGCAGCCGGCATGCCGGCATTTGTACGGTTTGTGCCCTGTGTGCGTTCGGATGTGCTGCTGGAGGTGCGACAGCTGCGTGAACTTCCTCTGGCAGATCTCACAGCGGTACGGCTTGATACCTAGATGAATCCGCGTGTGCTGCGACAGGTACGAAGAGTTGGCAAAGGACTTGCTGCACGAGGCACACTTGTATGGCTTTGTCTGGTCACCGTCGCTCCGTCGGCCCTCCTCCTCCGGCGAGGAGCCGTTACTGCCGCTTCCACTGCCGTTGCTCATCTGTTGACGCGCCGGCGATCTACTCGGATCATACTGGAAAGAAACGAGAAGTAAGTTCAGATAAGTTTATATTTTAATTGGGTTCTTGGTGCTGTTGGAAAGGGATTTGGGATTTGAAGACTTGACTGAATTTCTCTAAGGGACTCACCTTTTGCTCCGGCTGCTCGTGGGGCGTGGGCGGTGAGTTAGGTGGACTGTAACTAGACTTCACTTGCTGCTGGTGATGCTGCTGCTGCTGTTGTTGGTGATGCAAATGTTGCTGTTGCTGCTGCTGTTGGGGATCGGGTTGTTGCTGCTGTTGTTGTTGTTGCTGCTCCATAACTAAATGCTGCTGCTGATGCTGCACCAGACCGCTTTTCAGCGAATAGTCCAGCCGTTCGGCAACATTCTGGCGGAACTCAGTAATGTTGAAGGGCTTGTACTCGTGGACCAATTGGGCCGTGGTCAGATGACCCAAAGATCTCAGCTGGTCGATGGAGCGGTGCAGGTAATCGCCGCTTGGGACGCCGTTCGGCGCCGTCGGCAGTTCGGCCATAAGCGTCGGCTGGTGGCCGCCAAGGGTTAGCGGGCGGTAGGCGATGGTGCGAGCGTCCAGTTTGGGGGCGTGGTCGTCGAAGGGTCTAAGCCGATCGAGCGGTGTGACGAGTGCGAGCGGAATGGTATGGAGGGAATGGGAATGGAACAGCGGTGCTCGTCGCCGTCGTCGTCGTCGTCGGCAAGTCGACACTCCACTACTGCGGGCTTACACAACTGGTCGCTGGTTTGTGCTGAAAGTACAGAAATATTGTAATTCTTGAATCCAGTAAATTGTGCCTAGTCGGCACAAGTGCTTAAACTACTTTTCGATTCCGCTTCGCGCTCCCTTCGCCTCTTCGCCACTTCCCCACATGGCCTCCTCGCCCTTCCCTTCACCGCTTTGCGGGGTACATTAATTTCTGCACATTAACATAAATGTGCATGAATTAATTAATTGTTTGTGAATTAAACGTGCTGCGCTCTGGAACAAAAGTCCAGCAGCACAAGCAGAGCCGTAAAAGAAATAGCAAGCAGCAACCCAGTAAAAAAGTTGCGAGTGTGGCGCAAAAAGCGAAAAGAATTAATAACAATGCCGGGGCAAAAAACAATAAGTCAACGGAAAAAAGTCACAAGATAAACAAAAAAGGCGCTTGCGGCCAAAAATTGTTGGTGACAACAAGATGGAAAGCGAAATGGATTCTTCGTTTTTCGTTCTGCTTGAAGAATCGAAAAATCGCAATCGCGGTTACCGCGGCTCGGCGGTGATGATGGCCTGGCAAAAAAAAGTCAGGGGCGCCAACGGAACGTGTCAACAACCTCGAGAACTCGACCCAAACGCAGCTGCTGCAACTACACACATCTCAGACAATTTTTGGGGCGTTGCAGCAGTTCTTCCAATGGACCAATGCTGTTGGCGTAGCTTTAATATTTAGCTTGTAGTTGGTAATGTGATTGGCCAGAGATACCGCCAAGATGCAGCTTTCACAGTGAAATGCGAGTAAATTGAATTCTTACGTTATCCTGCCAGTAATATTTTTAATCTATAACAATGCTATTTGTTTTTTTTTTTTTCTTGCAAATTAAAACAGTAAGTACATTTAGAGATTTATAATCGTAGTATATTTAATAGGCTCTATAAATATAATTATTTTATAACATTTTAAAAAATTTTCATTTCATTTCAAATATTGTGCTGCATTAAGCACTTACATAAGTATATTTGGAATTTGTTCAGATACTATTACGTTATCATTTCTAACCATTAAGATACAACAAAAAGACCTATATATTGATAACGGCTTTTACAAAAACAAAGTGTACTCTATTAAATCCGTCTAATGGTCTAAATAAGAGGTCATGCACCCACAATTACCAGTTGTGAAGTAAGATTTAGGGGTTCGTTTCTTTAAGCCGTGAATAAATAGGTACTATGTATGGCTCTTACATATAAAGAGGATCGTAAATATGCTAAAGCCACCCACATTAATATTTTGTGAATAGAATTAACAAAAAGTTTAATTAAAATTACATTAAATAGGAAATAAACATCACAGCTTTAAACTGTAGCATTTCATGAATTGTTTTATATGAAATGTTAGAAAAGTTTCAAGATAAATCGAATGTCAAATAAGTAGAATTTGTGATTAATAAATAAAAACAGCAAAAATACAAAATTTGTCTAAGTGTAAACTTTTGAGGAAATAACCATTTTTGTGTTAGTTTAAAATTATATTTACAATCATTTTATGTCCATTCAAAAAATATATAGGTGCAATTAAATAACTTCAATAAATAATATTGTAATACAATTATTTTAATATTTAATATTCGTAAAAACAATTTTTTTTTATAATTTAATGGAAATGCATTGGACTATCTTTAAGGAAAACGTTTAGATCATGATAAATATTATTACTTATAAAAATGCATAGTTAATTCATTATTGATGGGCACTATATAAAGTCCATACAAAGTGTTTCATAAAATTATTTAACTCTTTCTTGGTGTTATTGCTTTATGGAGATAAATCGCCTCAATAGTCTTATGTAAATCCCCGAAAGTTTAATGCGCCACATTGATTACGACCTTTTGGTCGGGTGGGTGTTGACGTCAGAGGTAAATTCAGATTTTTTTTTTTGTTTTTTGGGCTGCGATTTGTTGTTGTTGCCTGGCCAAAATAACCGGTTTTTTTAGTTGTTGTTGCTGACGTTGGACAATTGAACACTAGGAAAAATGTAAAGGGAAGAAGAGGAATGACAAGGTAATGGTTAATGTAAAAAAGGACTCGCTTGTTGCGCACATTGGGAGCGACAAACATGTTTGCTGGTCAAACAATCGCAAGTAAAAACACCAAACAGCGAAAGTGGGGATAAAAAAAACAACAAATAAACAGACGAAAACGAAACAGAACAACCATCGTGTAACTACAGATCCAGAAACACGGAAAATTGGCCACTCAACCTGATAAAAATGCAAATGGGAAATACAAAAAAAAAAAATTGAAACGCAATCGGTCAGCCCCGAAAAAAATTGGGGGAAAAAAAGAGAAGCCCAAAAAGCATATAAATAAAATGGTATACACAAAAAACCAACACACACACTGGCACAGCAACATGGGCCACAAAAAACGAATCAACGAAAATTAATTGAGCGCAAGCAGCTGAAAACAAAAGAGAGCAAAAGAGCGAGCAAGAGCACAACATAAACAAACGCCGGACTCTCTCTCCCCCTATCCAACTATCTCTTTCTCGCTCTTGCTCAGTTGGGGACATGTGTGCGAAAAAAAGCAGCGAATATTTGATGAATACAAAAAAAGTGGAAGATAAAAAAAAAGACACCGACACACAAACATACAAAAAAAAACCGCCACCGAATGAATGGGGAACGAACAATAAAAGTCAAAAAGAAGCGACAAAGCGGACGGTCAAATAATTGTGTCCGTTTTGCGAAATTGTTTTTTGAAAATATTCTACCTTAATGACGTGTTAATAGTCAAAATTGATTAACAAAAAAATATTATTACAAAACGGGCATTAAACAAAAATGTAACTTATGTTACAGTGGGCCAGTTTACTCAAGATTTGTGTTACCTTTAAAATAAAACTATTTAACGACACGGTAGCTTTCTAACTTATTTCACCTAGTACAAAAATTGCAAGTTTTTAAGAAAAAATAGGTCATTAATACTAATTTGAAATATTTGAAAAATGAAACGATCCCAATGTTTCTTAAAAATAAATAAATGAATAAATACAAAAAGTAACATAACAAATTATGAATAAAAAAATAAGCAGCTAATATTTGTTTAATTTAATCACAAGAGTCAGTAAGAACACTTCTATCAGTAATGTATTTCTAAGAATCGAGTATAGAGTTTCAGAAACTTTGTGTGTTAATTTATTCTATTTATTTTCGAGGCTTGCAAACAAATCCCGTTCTTAGGATTTTCACATACTTATTAATCCTTTACAAAATTTAAGAACTTTAAATTTACTTTTCCAAGTCAACGAAACATTCCCAAAAAAAAAACCTAGATTAACTCATATTTTCTACATTTAGAAAATCTTTTTAAGATGATATAATCAAGATAGCAGAATTAAAAAGAGTTTTCGGGAACATATCCCACCGTACGATGAGCGCGGGAAGCAGAGCGCTTCAGTTTGTTTGTCCAATAAGGCAAATAAATAAAACATATGTTGTGAAAGTACTAACCAATTTAAAGGAGCCCTTTGTGTGTCGGCCAGTGGCTGACGCTGATGCAGTTATTGCCCTCCTCTATCGGCCAACTTTTGTTGATATTTTAGCCGTTAATGCACGAGCACGTGTTCGCTGCCGGATTGTGGGTGAACGAGCGGAGGGGGGTTCGCACACACAACACACACACCCGCGCGCTCAGGTAAGTTGTTTGTGGTTTGCGGCACTCTATTTTTGTACGTTTGTTTGTTTGTTTTCGGCGCCCCTGCGATTGATTTATTTTCCGCAAATTAGCGAATCTAGTGGGGATTTGCGTAGTTTCTGCGTTCTTTTTTTTGGTCGGGCCTCTCTTTCGAAGAGACTCTCGAGTAGCAACAAGAAAAAATGGCCGCGCACGCCAAAAATACACACACACCGACACCAACGCACGCACACACAGCCAGGACCAGAGTTCTGGCAAGTTTCTGTTTTTTCTGCACTTGTGCTTTTGGCCCGTTTTTTGCCAGGCTTTTTTTTTCGGCCACCGAATGGGATTAATTGCAATTACAACTAGCACGTGGGGCGAAGGGGGCTGGGCGGCGCTGGAATGGCGGGGTAATCCGCACAAGCTCTTCGGTTGTTTACGTCGCGGGCAGCAACAAAAAGCAGAAGCAGAACGAAACGGAACTCGCAATAAGAAGAGCAAGAATGAACCGTTCGTTCGGCAGCGCGGTGAAAATTCGACTGAAAAAAAATCACAGCCGAAGCGAGTTTTTTCAAACAGGCGGAGGCAGGGAGAGCGCGATGAGTGAGCGAGATGGGGTGGCGGGCGTTCTCGTGCTCTCTCGCACACATGATGAAAAAAGGCTTGTTTATGTTTTTTATGTGTGCACTTTTTGTGTGCTCTCTTAGTGTGCTCGCTCTCGCGTTCGTTCGTTCTCTTCGGCTCTGGCTTCGAATTCCGGTTTTTTGTTCCCGGCTCTGTTTTTTTTGTGTAATTTTTGGAGAGCTCCTTTTTTTTGAATACCGAATTTAATTGGGCCAAATGTTGGCGAGAGCGGCGCAAAGGAAATAAAAAACAAGAAAGGAATCTAACTTCGGATAGCCGAAGTTTCTATACCCTTGCAGTTAGCAATTTTATCATCAAAAAATTTACCTAGTTCGGTAAAATAAAAAACCTAAAAAGAGAAGTATAACACATTTTAAGGTAAAATCACCAAACTTTTGCTGATAATCCTAGACTTTTATATACTAATCGTTTTTTTGTTGTGTTTTGGACTCATCCAAATTGCAAAATTTGAACGGAAACGATGATTAAAAATTAATTAGCATAAAATAATATTCAAACCTGGCTTAAACTCAACCGAAATAATTTCCGATTGTTATAACATTAACAAAACAAACAATCTATGTATATTTTTTAATATTGTTGCAATCGTTTGAATGGCTTTTTGAAATATAGAAGACTCTTTAAAATATGAGACAAGTTTTTGTTATATTTTTAATAGCTAATGATTAAAGAACTGAATTTTATAAGTTATTATAAATATTAAAATTTTTGTTGCTTATATCGATCGCTGTATTTATTTATTTTTTTTTTTTTTTGCCTTCATGCAAATCTTGCAATCTTTAAACTTTTTGTAAGCTTCCCTAAATAAACTCTAATTACACCCAAGATACACATTACGTTGCGTTTTTAAATTGCGCGCTTTTCGTCCGGACTTCCTAAATGTTGCACAGATGGTCACACTGTCGGCAAATTGGCCTTCGTAGCGTTTATTTGCCCTTTACATGCCTTTTAATAGGTTTTCAGTGAAAATTTAAATCCATGCAGGCCTCTAAAGGTTGTGCACAGGACGTAGGTTGTAAAAAATTATGCAGGGCGGCGACAAAAGAGTAAAACCGGCGGTTTTCTAAAAGAGTACGGCAACGCCAATGTCAATTAGCCATATCAGTGTGGCCAGTTGCGTTGGAGGCGAAATTCCTAACTTTTTCTGACGAACTCTAGCATTATAAACACAAAACCTGACGCACGTGACGAAAATGAGTAAATTCAACCATTCCGTAAAAGTTCCAACACAATACAAGGCGACGGCGAAAATTCTGAAGACGGCCCTGGATAAACAGAAGTCCATAAAGTCCCTGATTTTCGAGGAGAAGCATGCAGTGAGTCCTGGGAGCGAACGGGCGGTAGAACACCCGAATAACGCATGTTTTTCTCCCCAATCACAGCGTGTTCGGAGCTTGCAGGCGGTACTGAAACATTACAGCGACAACCGCGGCGCCGTGGACAACGCCATCGAGGAGACAGGACTCCTGAAGGACAACCCCAATCTGGATGCCTGTTTGGCCAAGGTTCTAGTCACCGAACTGATTTTTGGGCGAAAGCAGCTCAACGGAGAGAGCAGGCCGGTGCAGACAGTGCGGAGTTATCAGGAGAAGCTACAGCAGGCTATCACCGGCTCCGGAATCCAGAAAAAAGGCAGGTTCACCGATCCACTTGCAGTATTAGCCGGCTGAGTTATGGCCAAAAAGAACAAGAAGCTACAACAGGTGGAGGCTGTCGCAAATACGCCTGCGAGCTTTGAGCCTGAACCTCCGGTAAAGTCCCGTCCCCAAGAGGAGGACACTAGTGCCGAGGTGTTCCTATGGCTACTGGCTTACAGTGTCTTGATGTTCACCTTGCCTTTTTTGGGTTTTTACGGCGTGCGCAGCTGGCTGCAGGAATCTTTTCCCCATTTGGACGTCTTCACGGTCAACTGCTGGTCTGTTCTCACGGCAGTTTTGGTCGTTAATCTAGTGGTGGCCATGTATGTGCTGAAGGCGTTCCGCGAGAAATCTCCACCGCCCTTAGAGCAAGTGGAGGAGGATGAGGATGAGGTGGACGAGTCCAAAAAGGAACAGTAACCAAAATGAGATGAAAGTTATATAACCCAAGATCTACCAATAACTACCATTGAGATCAACCTTATTCCGAAATGTTCACCCTAAAATCAACCAATCTTTTAGAGACTTTTGTGTGCTTAAAGGCAACGTGTGGAGGAGCATCTGAACCTCGAAAAGGATCATTAACTTAGTTAAAAACTACTTTAAATAAACCAACCTATGACACACTTTTAAACGATGCTTTCATTTGTCTTTTCATCCGCCAAAACAGAACCTAATCCCCGCTATGTACGCATCAATACCAATCTACTCAGTCTGTCGGAGGCCCTGGAGTACCTGGCTGGAGAGGAGTGGCGGCGCAAGGAGCTGCCAGCGGATGCCAGTTACGCAGATTTCCTCAACGCCATCAGGGCCTTGGAGGAGGATGAGTTCATGACGGATTTGCATGTGGAATGCGTGCTGATTTTTCATCCCAAGTGGGCCCACTACTGGGCCGGTCATGACTTTGTGCATGCCAAGAAGTTTATACTGCAGAACAAGGCCACCTGCTTGGCCGCTGAGCTCTTGGCTCCTCCAACAGGATCCACGGTGCTGGACATGTGCGCAGCGCCTGGAATGAAGACATTGCACATATGCAACGTGATGCAGAATAAAGGTCGCATCTACGCGGTGGAGCAGTCCAAGGAGCGATATAAGGCGCTGTGCGACATAACCAACGAGGCTGGTTGCGAAATTGTGACACCTATTCTGGGCGATGCTCTGACCATGAGTGAGTTATTGCCAGTTGAGATACGTATAAAAACTAATCTGTTCAATCCCTGCAGCTGCGGAACGCTGTCCGGACGTGGAGTACATTCTCGTGGATCCCAGTTGCTCTGGCAATGGAATGCAGAGTCGCATCAGCGTGTGCGACGAGCAGAAGGATGACAAGCGACTGTATAAACTGGCTGGGTTACAGATCAAGATCCTGTCGCACGCTATGAGCGCCTTTCCCAACGTGAAGCGGATCGCCTATTGCACTTGCTCGCTGTGGAAAGAGGAAAATGAGCAAGTGGTGCAGCGTTGCCTGCAGCTGAATCCATCCTTCAAGCTGTTGAGCTGCAAGAAGGCGCTGCGCAACAAGTGGCAGAATGTGGGCGACAAGGAATATGCCAAGATTGGCAAGAATTGCCTCTACTGCTTGCCGGATAGCGATTTGACCGATGGCATTTTCCTGGCCCTCTTTGAGAAGCGACGAGACGGAGATGAGGATTAGAAAAAACACAATTTATAAGCTTAGAACGTAAGGGAAATTAGATTTTTATTACATTTCCTTCAACTTCATTATGTACATCATTACAAAAAAATAAAAAATTATAGTTATAAAAAAAATGATAAGCTCAAAAGTAATTTTGATTTGGTGATTCGTTGGCAATTACATTTTTGAAAATTGAGACGGGGTGAGAACAAAATCTAATAAATATATATTTTACTTATATAAAGATATGAATGTGTTTGGAATGTATATAAGCGATACAAGTAGTAAAAAAATGATTTTGATTTATCAAAATATTAAGAAATGTCAAAAAATAAAAAAACTTTCACAATGAAAATGTTAGTGTCGCCGAATTGATCGAAAGTGTTCCTTGCTCTTTCCTTTACCAGGCTTCAATTTAAATTGTTATATTATATTATGATTGGCAGTTCGATATTCAAAGTGCTCTCTCTTATTTCAAAATTTTAGTACACACTGTATTCCAATTACAGATACATATACCGAAATCGTGTCGGCCTGAAACGAACAACATACGATTAAAATGTTTAAGAAATTTTGTAGGCCGGCAGTTCCTTCCATTAACTTTCGGATCGCGAGATGTTTTTATCGACCACGACGACGATTGAACAAATATTATGATATCGTGAGTACCTTCTATTACAAATTTTTGTTTCTTTTCACAGAAACGAACATTTTTTTGTATACTTTTTGCTTAAACTTTGAGTGATGAGTTGATGACTACTATACTATGGAAATATAGGCACGAGACAAGTTTAAAAACTTTATAAAATCGAACGCGCCAGGCGCTATGTTGTTGTGTATTAAGTCTAGCACTGCATCCAGCTTCGATCGGAACGCGTATATATATTTCAGTTTATATAAACGCTGCAAAAGCTGCCAGAGCCTCTGCTCCTGCTGGACTGCTCGTAGCATCTAGACCTTCATTTGCTGCTTGTAGTAGCCACTCTTGGTTAAGCGAAAGGACTCTGCCTTAATCGCATCCTCCATGGTAATAATCGGCTTCTTGGGGCAGTATTTAATGGTATGTGCCGAGTCCCCAGATGCCCCACATATGGGGCACACGTAGGTGCGCAATTTTGGGCACAGCACTCGGTTGAAGCTGTCCCGCACTGTGTGGCTATTGACCACCGCCTCCGGCTCGTTATTGTTCTCACAGAACACGCAGTGGCGGCTGATCTGTACGAGTGTAGTTAAACGTATTACATTTTAAATGTTTTTGTTCGTTAAGAATTATGATCTCACCTCTTTGGCCTTGTTGTTAAAGCGCTTGTGCATCTTGTTCGCATTGTTGGTATTGAGGCTACTTCCGTTCCGCACTTGTTCCGGCTGCAGTGGCAATCCCAGATTCACTCCCACCCCTAAATGGGGAGACATGGGTGCCGTGGCCTGTGCTTGTAGTCCCGATACGCTGGTAGCGACAGGCATATAGGACATGTGACGCCATACATTGTTCAGCTGCTCCCTGTAGGTTTGCAGCCAGTGGGCGGTGAGTGGTGCCGATAGCGGCATCACAATCCCATTGGCCGGCGGCTGGGGATTGCGCCCAAGGGGCAGGTGCATCTGCTGCTGCTGCTGCTGTTGTTGCTGCTGCTGCTGCACCGCCGGAGGTGGCGTCTGGGCGGCCGGCGGAGTAGTGGCGTACGAGAAGCGGTTGATGTCGTCGCTCACATAGCCGTTGGTCGCAAACTCCTGCATCGCATCCTGCATGGTGCAAGCCGCGTCTTCTGCAAGTTGATAATTTCTCAGTATTACTTCCGCATTGATCAGCGACATTTTGATTCTTAGTACGAAATTTTCACATTCAAATCATGCAAGAACTGGCTTAAATCTATTTCCAACAATACACGAATAAGCAAGAGAGTAAAGCGCAATCGCAACAGACCGCGAAAGAAACGGTAAAACGAATTTCTTGAGTGTTGAAAAATTGATGCGCAAAAGTGTTGCAGAGTTCAATGGCCGGGGGGCATCGGCTTAGGAAGAATAAGGAAAACAAGAGGATAAGGGTCTAAAACAAAATAAAAATTAAACAACAAAAACAAAGAAAATTACAGAAATAGTCAACAGGTTGACTTAAACTCGCCATTTTGTTTACAAATATACTTTTCAGAGTCATTGCACCTTTAACTAAAGCCCCTCAATCTACGCCCATGATCATTGCCTAACTGTAGTTGGACATCAAGACATCTCTTTCTCGCCCGCTAAGTTTTGTACTTAGTTGTCCGCGGCGCCATTTTGGTGTTCCCCCTCTCGTTTCTTACCTGCTGCGCCCGGGGTCAAATGTGCGAATCTTTTTAAAGATCGAGCAATCTCGTCCTGCTGTTGGTGATTTGCATTGGCAGCCGCCGCCGATGCCGCCAGCGCCAACTGGTGCTGCGCCAAAGCCAGTTGTTGTTGCTGTTGCTGGAGCAGCAGATGGTAGTGGTACTGCCGCTGGAGCAGTAAAGTATTGGCCGCGGCGGCGCTGTCAGCCAGCAGAGGGAAGTGCGTCGTCTGCGCAGTCGGTTCGGGGGTCAGCGGTGTCAGGGGGGTACTTGGCGGACTGAGCGAGGCCGACGAAATGGACGGGGTGGGCGGCAGGCTGCTGTTTCCTCCGCCACTGGTGTCCAAATAGATGTTCTGCAGACCCAGCAAGTTGAGTCCTCCTCTGCTGTGGAAAGCAGCAAAGTTGTCCTGGAAAGGAGCATCGTCAGCGGGGGAATATTCCCACCCGGTATGGGGGGCACTCACGGATGCGGCGTTGCCTTCCAGATTGCTGCGAAACATGGCTGACGTTCAAAGGGGCGCACAAATTTACCGTAGCGGCGCACTCAGCTTTCAACAGTTCCACGAATAACCAAGCGGAGTTTTACTTTATGAAGTATTCTTGTTACTTCTTTACTCTGCACGTTTAGGCTAGGTTTCAGGGAATTCGGGGTCAGGACGCGATATAAAAAAAATAGAATAAGTCCCGGAGACAAAGCAGAACGGAATAAAGTTTTCAGATTTCGATGCAAAGCTGTGCGCGCCAAGTAACGGTTGTTGGCTACAGGTGGCATGAGATCGATAAAAGCTATTAGAAATATCGATATTTTAATTTTTCGCTAAAATAAAATAAAAAATAAAATAAATAGTTCATAAAATAAATCCCAATATCTGGTTTAAAGAAATAACCATTTATAACATTTTATTAGATAAAGTTCTTCGTTTTGATACCAGCATTAAACCCCTTGAAATCAGCGCATTGCATATAAATACAAAAACACAGCAAGTGAGCTCTACTTATCAACGAAAAAATATAAACATATCCCCAAACGAATCACCAACACGCCACACGCGTCGTCTCAACCAGTGTCCATTGCAGACAAATTTAAAAATCGCGCACACCGACGATACCGCGTGAGACTATCGGATTACCGACCAATCGAACAATTGAACAATCGAATGCGCGCCAACGATCTAAAGACGTTGTGCAACACCGGCGCGCGCTTAACGGAAGAGAACAGCTGACTGCTGATACGTGCGTGGTTCGCGGCAGGAATTACATAAAGTTTTGAGCTTCTGACGCGATACTCGCGAACATTCGCCACCGGTCGAAACCCCAGCAAAAGGTCACCAGTCACCGCCACCATGGTAATTTCACTCATCATTCGAGCTTTGCGGCGGCCACCAGCAACGAACTCCCCTTACCATACATGTGCCCAATTTTCGAGGTTAAACCTTCGTCTAAATGATTTTTCTCATTGCAGTACAGAGTTGTTGCTATTGCGCGGGAGCGCGCTGGCCTCTTCACGTGCCAGCAGTTTACGCAAACCCCGCAGCAGCAGCAGCACCAGCAGGTGAGCCTCCGGCTGGTTAATCTCCACGGGGCGCTCGGGTTAAGTCAGCCTTTCACCCCGCAGCCACGATTTTACAGCCAGCAGGCAGGGCGCAGGCCCGGCTTCTTCTCGCAGTTCATCGACAACATGCGCTCGGAGATGGATAAGAGCAAGGAGATCAAGGACAACATTCGCAAATTCCGGGAGGAGGCCCAGAAGCTTGAGGAGTCCGACGCCTTGAAGTCGGCGCGACAAAAGTTCAACATTGTCGAGTCGGAGGCGCAGAAGTCGTCGAGCAAGCTGAAGGAGCAGCTGGACGCCATCAAGGATAAGGTGGGCGACGTTCTCGATGATGCCAGCAAGTCGGATCTGGCCAAGAAGGTTACCGAGGAGTTGTCGAAGAAGGCCAAGGGCGTTAGCGACACGATATCGGACACTAGCGGCAAGCTGGGCCAGTCCGGTGCCTTCCAGGCCATCTCTAACACGACGACGATCATCAAGAAGGAGATGGACATGACGAGCATAGAGAATCGCGTCTATCGGCCACCTGCCCAGCTGCGTAAGCGCGTCCAGCTGGACATGAGCGACAGCGATCGCGTTGTAGAACCCAACACGGAAGCAACTGGTTAGTAAGAGAGGTCAAAGTTCAATGGAATATAAATTACTGATTCCCACCATCACTTTTCAGGTATGGAGCTGCACAAGGACTCCAAGTTCTACGAGTCATGGGAGAACTTCAAGAACAACAACACGTACGTGAACAAGGTGCTCGACTGGAAGGTGAAATACGACGAGTCGGATAACCCCATGATCCGTGCCTCCCGCCTGCTAACCGACAAAGTTTCCGACGTGATGGGCGGCCTATTCTCAAAGACGGAGCTCTCCGAGACGATGACAGAGCTCGTCAAAATCGATCCGAGCTTTGATCAGAAGGAGTTCCTTCGAGACTGCGAAACGGACTTCATTCCCAACATACTGGAGGCAATTGTTCGGGGCGATTTGGAGATATTGAAGGACTGGTGCTTCGAGAGCACATACAACATTATCGCCACGCCCATTACGACGGCAAAGAAGGCCGGCCTGTATCTGGACTCGAAGATCCTTGACATCGAGAACATCGAGCTGGCCATGGGCAAGGTGATGGAGCAGGGCCCTGTACTGATTATTACGTTCCAGGCGCAGCAAATCATGTGCGTCCGGGACCAAAAGGCCCAGGTGGTCGAGGGCGATCCGGAGAAGGTGATGCGGGTGCACTACGTCTGGGTGCTGTGTCGCGATCGCAACGAACTCAACCCGAAGGCGGCATGGCGGTTGTTGGAGCTGGCCGCCAACAGTCAGGAGCAATTTGTTTAGCGCGCGCGCTATTGCCAAGCCCATATGTTTTTTTTAACGAGCAGTTTAAGTTTCCCGCATTCACCACTACAAAAACGAACGAAAAAGATCACTGGACACTGAGCTTTGACGATGAAATGACCACGAACTCGACGACGATGACCCGCAGGACTCTATCCAAATGTGTGTACAAAGGTTTCGCTTTCGATTGCTTTGAAAGTTTTGTCCGCTTCTAGTCGACTGCGTCCGCCCGGCAGGGGCTGCTGGTCGGTCCCGCGAACTTTATCCCCCCGAATCACCGGACCGGGCGCAGCAGTCTGCCGGCACGGCTCGTCCCCTTTCAAAAAGGACGCCTCCGGTCGGCCGTTCCTTGCGGCCACGCCCCGCACCGGCCCACGTCCGACATCGTTCGCGAACGGTGCGGGTGGTGGCCATCGGGATCGTGGTTCTCCGCTGGTGTCTTGGCCAAATCCAAATCATTGAAGCTTAACGTGCAAGCGCCCTATGCCGTCGCAGGCATAGGCATAGAATCAGTAGTGAGCATAAGACAAATTGTTGAGTATAGAAGTTGTGTTTAGGTATTTTAAGACCCCAGACCCCCCCGCATCATCCCGATCCTTATCCCGATCCCCCCGTCCCTTGTAAATACGGAATTCGCCCTGGTTAGCTTGGGCATCGGCAAATTGACTGTACACACGGAATCCAAAGAGTTGTACTGACGTCCCCAAAACGCCGAACTCAAAATGTCTAGAAAAAAAATAAAAATCTTCAATATTTTTAGATATAGTCGACCGATAAAGCAACTGGTGAATTCTTGAGATTTAAGTGTTATTCCCTTACCCTGTCACAGACATCCAGGTCTATGCTTGCTCATTGGGCAACCGTAGGCGCCACCTAGAATGTGTAGAAAATAAAAAAACTCCAATACTTTTACGAATCTGCTTAAACTTATTTTAACATTTGGAATTTTTCGATGATGAGTAAGTAGTCTTTGAAATAATATATGTAGCTCCCGAAGGCAAAAGATTAAAAATGTTATATTACAAGTTGAGCAACTTATAAAAGTAATTTACATATTAATAAGAACATTGCATATTGATTTTTATCTACAGATACAAAAATATTCATATGTGTTAATGAATATGTACATATATTTTTGGACATTTTCATGTATTTTGTTTTGGTTTATTGGAATTCAAAAATGTTTAAGAACTAATCAACGTTTTGAAAATAAAAATATTACATTTTCAAGTTTTCATGAATGATTTATTCTTTTAGGGGTTTAATTAAGTAGTATGTTTAGCTTCATTTATTTAAATTAGGAAAATATAGTACTTATTGAGGAATTAAATTTTTTAACCTTCAGAACCTTTACAGAATTAGGTTTTAAAACTTAAAAAAAAAAATCAAACAATTCTTAAAGTCTTTATTTAAAAAAAAAAAAAATGATCTTACTTTTACCTCACCGTTTTTTAATTGACAAAAAAAAATATTTAAAAGAACAGCCATTATGAAAAACTTTTTACATATAAAATATAAACTAGAAATCTAAATTCGTACAGTTAAAAAAAATTTATATCTAGAAAATAGGGATATTTTTACAGTAGGATACATTTTCTTACAATTTGAGTACCCTCAACTGTTCATGTAATGTAATGTAATTCAGCCCTGCTACAATAACAGTTACTGCCTCGAACCTTAATCGGTTAACCCAGCAAACTTAACATCGAACCGAGAGCTTTGGCAACTCAAAAGAGGTCAAATATCAATCAAATATTTTTTAACGAATTATTGTAAATATGTATACTTATATGATTTTTATATCTATTAATTTAGGTTTTACTCAAAGGAAGATCCACAAATCGTCCTTCAACAAACCCTAGGAAATGTACATACATAGACTCATTAACAGGTAGTTTAATATAAACATAAATACATATTATGTAAAATATTAAATAAAACTGGCTTACATTATATTTAATTAGAAAGCTCTTTAAAAGTAACAAATTTGTTGTGATCAAACAAAAAATATAATAATAAATAAATAAATAAATAAACAAATCACGATATTTTGTGTCATAAGCAAATAAATATAATAAGAAATCTGATCATTTGTAAATATCAAAATACGATCGATCCACATACTTTTTGAATATCTGACAACCCTACAACTCAACCTAACTGAGCAAAACTTCGTGATTCGCCGCTCAAATTTCATTTCAGTCCGAAAGCTTGCCGCGACAGCAACGTACAAAACACGGCTGGCGGAACAACAAATAAATTCTCGTAAAAAAAATTGCTAACACCCGATCAACGCTTATTCACCTGGCAAAAAATACACCAGCGATCGAGGGGCGCGTAACTTGTGCGTGTGTGATAAGAGAAGCAAATAAAGGAAGTGACGGAACCCGCATATATCCAACAGAATCGTGAAATGGGCACCACAAAGAGTTTGGCATTGCTACTGCTGATGGTACTGCTTCTGGCCGAGTGTAAGTACCTCCACCGCCATGTGTATCCGCAGTGACAACAACGCAAGCCATAAAAGATAGATAACCGAGCAGAGCCAAGGCGAGCCCGATCTCGATATTTCCACTTCTGCAGGGAAACTAGTTTCGAGCGCAGCTGGATGAGATGGCGATGACGATGGCGATGGAGATGGAGGAGCCGCCACTCGGCTAGACAGTTAACAGTTTACGGTTCACCCTTTTTGCCTTAATAAGTGGCCTGCCAAGAGCAAAGAGCCAAGAGCCAAGACCAGGCCCGGTTCGGTTCGTTTTGCCTTTGTAAGCCAGGTTTACGGGGCATAAATATGGGGGCTTTATTGTTGGGGAGACCGCCTGCCGTCCTCGTCGTCGTCCATCAAGGTTCCCGTCGCCGCCAAGTCGCAAAATTAAATTGCAAGACTTTAATTCCACTGGGGGACTCCAGCTGGCTCACATTGCAGATAAGATTTCGCCAGGGCTTTTTTCCTGCTATATGGTTACATGATTGATACGCAGTTATGGTACCAGGAACAGTTGTGGTTAAAATAATGGGTTTTTTCTTTAAGTGTTTATGAGGGAAAATAAACATTAAGGACTTTAGAGACACCCTGAATTACCTTTGAAATTTTAAAATGGATTAGAATAGATCAAGATTAATTTAAAATATTGAACCATCTTATCCATTATCTTTATTAAACAATTATGTTGTAGAATAAATAATTATTTTGAATCGTTATGCAATAAATGATCCAAAATATTGATCTAATCTAGGAAATTATTAATTTTGAGATTATTAAGATTTATGTACCCCAAACCAGGATTTATATTCAAATAATCTTAATAAAAAGTCTGAGAAGTAATATTTTTGTGAGAAGAAATGAAAACTTCATTGAAAAATCAACAAAAATCCAAATTATGTACCTCAAATAAGGATTAATGTTAAAAAAATGTTAATAAAGAATAAGAAAGTTATTATTTTTGTAAGAAAAAATGAAACTTTATTAAAAAATAAGCAAAAGTCCAGCAAAACACTTCAATAAAAATGTTTTCTTATAGGTAGCAAGCCATTCCTTCATCAGTATCTTAACTATCTATATACATATACATAAATGTATATCTTAATATGCTAATTACGCTTACTAAAAGTTAAATTAGTAGACGCTTTTCTGGAACAAACAATAACCAACATCTTTCTTGAATTCTTTTATGACACGTCTACACGCTTTTCGCATAAAACGAATGCATTTTCATTATTTATTATCTGAGTATATTAGTTTATAACGAATTGCCAAAAGATACACCCGGTCTTAGGTGAGAGATTATGAGGTGTCAGGTTCTTATAAGCAGAGCATTAAGTTATATTATTTCCCCTAAAGATGTGAGTCCCAGGTGTTAACTGATAAGACAAACTCTGGACGCTTCTTTGGCAGTTGTCAAAAAAAGTGGATCAAGTCTTCACTGGGACAAGGCTTTAACCATTGTCACGTACTGAGAAATCGAAAAACTGGTGGACTTATGAATGTCAATTGCAATGAAATGCAAGATATTGCCGCCATATCATGTGCTTTTAGTGGAATTTTTTGTTTGTTTGTTGGGAGCTTCCCAGCCAGCAGCATGCTATTTCGACGCGATTTATGCGAATCGCATGGTGATTCCATCGGCATTGGCAAAATCGTTGGTGGCATTAGAAATGTGTGCTTGTTGCTTGGTTTTGTGCTATATAGTATATATGAACAGGTTTGATAAATACCACATAGAGACCCACAAAAATACAGTACAGCTGAGGCAGGCGTTATAGAGATCATTTATGAATTTAAAATAAAATAATGAAAAGTACAATTTCTTTGGCCTAACGTTATTTTATTTCTTTGCCAAAATAGTTGTAAAACTTTATCCTTTTCAGTCACCTATATTCTCTTAATTAAACTCATTTATGCTATTATTTTGAACGCAATTGTGCTAATTTATGCCTGCTTTTTAAGCTCCAACACGCTTTCGTTTTGTTTGCCAAAAAGCATTGCCCAAGAATCCGTGTCAACTGATAAAATGACCGGGGGGAATAGCGATCCGTATTGTCTGGGTCTGGTTCTGAATAAAATCAGAGTTCGTAACTGCGACTGCGAGAGATAAGCAAACATATCTTAGCGTGTGTTTTTTACTGGCTGAAAGGTGCTAGTCTCGGCACAAATATTTGCGATTCCCCTGAAATGTAGGAAGATCTGCGGCGTTCAGGTAGCCCGATAAGCTGTAACCAAATACAACCGGCTAATTCAACCGAACTCATTATCTCTGATTTTCTGGTTAATTGCTTTCTCTTTTAGCCCGAGCCAAGCCCTCGCAGGATTTAACGGAGTTAAGTGATCTGAGAGGAAAAGGAGCTGAAGCCGGAGCAGCAGCAGGAGGAGTCAGAGCTACAGGAGATGTGTCCAAAAATAAGACAGCTGTCGTAAAGGTGAGTTGGCCAAAAAGAATCAAAGCCACACAAGGGGGAGTAACTGGGCCAGGCTAAGGACCGGACAAAGCCACTCAGCCTGAGACTGACTGACGCACATGGAGTAACGAACGCCGGTTGAGTGAAATATGAGCCAGTGCATTCATTTTTTTTTTTTTTTTGGTTTATTTTTACACCAAGAACCGGAAATTTACGCTTTAAAAATGTTTATTTATTTTCACTTTGATTAAATGCAAAAGCCACAAGAAGACACGCGCGGCGTTTGCCTTTTAAGGCTCCCAAGAAATGCTAAATGAGGAAAAGAAAAAGCGCACGCAATGAAACTTTGCATAAAATTTAAGAAACCCCAAGCGTTGAGGGTTTAGTCACGAAATTCCACGGAGCCGGGGGGGTTATAATTGAGACAAAAAAGAGACTCCCAAAGTGCTTAGGTAGGTGAGTCATTCCATGGAATTCTAGGTAATTCCTCGGCTGCCGTGACGTCTCTGGGAGCTCGGAGCTTCGTGATCTCCAATCTCCACTGGAAAATCCCCCCTTTGTCGCTGAGCAGATTAGGCTGATTACGAGATATTGGAGATCTCGATCTCGTGCTTGTCACCTTTTTATAAACCTATCAGTTGTATCCATTGTTGGTTGTAAAAACAAATCGAGCAGTTACACGAGAAATTAAGTGCTTGCCTGCCGTTGGAGACAGAGTCAGAAACCAGTCACGTAGTCGTAAGATATTGTTACTGCCAATTACAGAGTTCACATCAAGAGACCCCTTCAGTCATCGAGGTCAGGCAATCTCCCAAGATTTGCTGTGTAAATAAACACAGCAGTGAGAGTGATCTTGCCAGTGATCTCTTACCTTAAAAACATCTTACTAATTAGCATTATTTTTGTGGAAAAAGATGGGTAAACAGATTAGGCCAGATAAGTGGTGACCTCTCTGATAACGTCGAACAACAACAGCTGTAGGTTGAGCGAACTTCAGCTGCGTTTCACAATTGTCGTCTCAGGTGTGTTTGGCCATCGAAAGTGTATCTTTCAGTATGTTATCACCTCAAGTTGGGTAATTGAGATATATGAAAGGTGAGACCGGGCTTTAAAATGATGATTAATGTGCGCAGAGAGAAGTTTGAGTTTGGCTTACGAAAAGTGTTGAAATGTTTAGTCTATGAGTCATAGCAAGTCCAATTTCCTGATGGGTAATATTATTTATAATTGTTGCCAGCCAACTTTTAGACATAATTGTGTACTTGAATAAAGAATTGAGTGTTTAAAATTAAAAAATAAGATATTTAATTGTAATACCTTCCTCTACAAATTTCCTAAAATTAGGTTTGTAGTTTCCATTAAGAATTTAAGGTTTAGAGTTAGTTAAAGCGGATATTTAGTCGAAATACTACTTAATATATTTCCCCTAACAAGTTTAAAAACTTTAAAGTAAATAAATTTCAACTGCCTACCTACTGAGTTATTTATATTCTTTTTAATGGTTCCACCAGTCGTATGCGTTATTTCAAGCTTCATGGTTTTTACTAAATTCAAATACTTTGTCATCTGAACTCCTTAGACCCACTTACTATAGAGATAAACAATTGTTTCAAAAGTAAAAAATGAAATTTGTCAACTGGCTCGTTAAGTTTTTTTTATTACACTCTTAAAGGTTTTTATGGTGCCTAAAGTATAGTACTGTGAAAGTCTCTTCAATATCTATTATTGTTATGTCTTCACTGCAAACTTAGAGCCAAAAATGAATACTTTCGTCTAGCACCTGTCTTTTAAAAGTGTTATGGGTTACTTTTTATGTCTAACTGGCCGAGGGATGACCTCAATAGTTGATGAGCCACTGGAAAACAGTTGCTAAAAAACCGTCCACCCACTTTCAAATGTGTTTGTTACCAAATTCGGCATAGAACTTGCATAGAATCACGTGCCAGGGGGAAATCAATTACTCAACTGCCAAGCGAAAGCCGCATCGATGACAAGACCCGCCTTTTATTTGGTGACGTTTGTACACTGCAAACAAATAGGTTTAGTTTTGAAAGCAGACTATTGATTAGAACTTTATTCTCAAATAAATTTCCATGTATTGTTTAAATATATTTAATAATTTTATTTATTTTTCCCTTCCAGGATACCGCCTTGGACTCCGATTCAGCTGAGGAATCGGAGGAATTGCCACGGCAGGCGTATCCCCACCGTGACGAGGATCAACTGAACTCGGCCACTAATCTGGTGCTAGCCCACAACTACAAGTACGATGTGGAGATCCTGGAATCAGGAGACGAGGACGACGAGCACGATAGCGGCTCTAATGACTCAGAGGATCTGGAGGAGCGTTTCAAGGGGCGCGGTGTGGTTTTCAGTACGGACACAGACACTTTTGCCTCTGAAAATATCGAAATGACGCCGGTGGACGTGCAGGCGGATGCTGTCAGCGAGGGTCACGTGCTGCTTGGCATTGTGGTGATGGCACTGGCCTTGGTCTCCCTGGCTTTGTACGCCGGCCTGGTCATATGGCGCTCGCACCTGGAGTAAGTCTTAACCTAAGCTAATTGTTCTAATTTTCGCAGTGCTAATTTTTTTTGCCAACTTTTAGGCAACGGTATGGAATGCGCGAGCGACTGGTGAACCGGGATCTCGAAGAGGAGGAGGCAGCCGGCATCGACGACGTCGATTATCATGTCTACGCCCCGACAACGACGCCGGCCACGCCCCGGGCGTAGTCCGGGCGCAAATCTGGTCCGATTTGATCCGATGCAGTGTGTGTTTACGCGACCTGGACCTGGCAGCGGATTAAAGTGCGCACTCACGACTCGTATCCAGATGGAGAGAACGGGCAGAGGAGCCGGCGCACTCGTCTAATGAATGCCATAAATTTCCACGACAAGCTGAAAAGCATTCCACTTCCCAATTGCACTTTAAACGGCGATACTAAAGGTCGCCCGCCATTACCGCCGATTTCTTAGTAGCTGGCGCAGTTGACAGCGCCAATTAGTTAATAAGTTTCTGTGATATTGTTCTAGAGATTCTTTTGTACGTCCCTTGCACTAACAATATGCATAGAGCCAAGCGTTTGTAATCGATAATAAAACAACTATATGTTAATTTGAACCAAACGTGTTAAGATTCGAGCTTATTTACCTTTTAAACGGGTTCAGATATGGCATATTAAGCCTGAAATATGAATAATAAAAGTCACTGGTCGGCCAGATTCTCTATAATTAAGTTTATACACTTCTTTTAAATTTAAATTCAATTAAATGCGCGCCTTTTATAAGCTTCCAACACTGAAAGCTAACCTGAACCGCAGCCAACTTTGCTTTTACTGATTCAACAGAGCCACTAAATTGTGAACTAGTTCATGAAACTCTAAATTAGGCCAAATACCTCACTGCTGACTGGAAACACAGGAAATGTTATTCTTTACATAGTCCCTAATACTAACTAATTAGTTTCTCAGGTATTTTACCCCTGTCATACGTTGTTTACGTTGTTGACAAGCAACAAGTATGCTGCAGCAGCCGGAACCAGTTGCCCACCGCCCCCACTCGGTCGCTGACCAACACTGCCATCAGCTGTTTCGTGTGTCTTGCGTGTTTTTTTTTTGTGGCCTGCACTTTGAACCTGCTACAGCCTCGTTTCGTGCGAATAAAGATACGAATTTAAGTGCGCCTGTCCGCATTCCGGTTCGTCCTCAACCGTAGTCCGTCGCATTTTTCGGTTTAGACTCCCGCGGAACTCGCTGCCGTGTGCACGTTAGTAGCATTTTAAGCTCTGCGCCAGCTTTCTCGTTTGGCTCTCTCCGGAAAGAGCGCCTCCGTTCCGTTCCGCCGCCCCGCTTCCTTCGCGCGCCGTGCTCTCTCCGCTGTCTACAACTCCATTGATAAGCAGCAGAGCCATCCCCCGTCCCCAACCCACTAGGCCCACGCTTCGGTTTTTAATAAAGTTCGGCTTAAAAAAGAAATAAAATAAAACAAAACAACAAACAAGTCCAAAAAGCCAAATCAATCAATTAAAAAAATACGTGCGTGTGGCGAAATTAATTTGGTTTGCTTGCCGTTCCATCGGCTGTGTGTTTATTAATTAGCAGTGCATAGTTTCCGGCGGAAGGCTGCCGCTTTCCGTTTTTTGCGAGCTTCCGTTTACGCGGCCAATTAGCAGCAGCAGTAGCAGCACCAAAGGATTGTTAAAATGACGCACTGGGAGGACTTTTACAACACGCACCTGCCGCCCGCAGACTTTGAGGACAATCGCTCCCTCTTGAAGGAGTTCTGCGAGCGCCACAACACGCTCCAAAACCGCATCGTCCTTGTCACGGTAAGCTGGGAATCCGTTTCTGAGTTGGGTTCTGTTAAGAAATCTTGTCAGCAAATGCTGATTTGGGGTCAGCGACAAGGGTTAAGCTGACCCCGCCAACTGGTGAAAGCTTTAATGGGGAACGCGAGGTGTTCTCCGGGCTTTAAAAGCGGGAATTATGTGCATAAATTAAACTCAGAAGTTAAATGTATACAAACGGTGTTTACATAAATTTCTAGGCAGCTTAAAATTTGTAAAGGGAAGGAAACAATATTACATAAATGTTTAAATTACAAAATTGTAAGCGTATACGAAAAGCCTTACATTGTTGCTATTTTAACGAAACTGCTAAGACTTTTAAAGGCATACATTACACTTTTTCTATTTGTTTAAAATATTTACTTTGTTTCGTAAAAAATGTATAGAATTTTAACAAGTCAATACCAAAATACCAATTTTAATTTGATGAAATTTTATAAATTTGCATTCCTGTAATTGGATTTTTTTTTTTAAATTGAATTCAAATACATCTTTGCTCTCTTTTTGTTTGCCCAAACAACGAATACTGAGAATTTTGCAGTAAAATTGGTTTATCAATCAACTAAAAATACATATTTAACTTAAACAAGGTCATGATAAACTAGAAATATTCAAGGTTTACTTAGGTACTAGGTGAAAAAAAATATTAAAGTCACAGGGAATATCTGCAAGTAAGCGAAAATTTGGAAAATATATTGGGTCTTCTGCATTTTACATCTTGGTCCCTTAATCCTTTTATGATTTATGCCAAAGTTGAGCAATAAATTCTTAAATACGAGTATTACTTTGAATGATTTATGGCCAATGTAAGGAGATTAATCTGAATCAAATGATTAACTACCTTAGAGGAAATATCGCTGCCAATATATGTATTTATCTGTCTCTTTTCCAAGCCATTGATTTTGCCCCAGGACAGACACAGTCAAAGGAATGTATGTAAAGCTCATATGTTTGCTAAATAAATCAATTAAGTTGGATACCTTACAGTGTTGTCAGGGTTTTCCGGGCTTAAATCGGTTAAACGATTTATTGCAGTTAAATTCCAGCTGTTGCATACTTTGGGGCATAAGTAAATATTAAAGAATTATTTATGGGTCTATAAAATGGCTGATTTCACACATAATAAGCTTATAGATAGTTAATTGCATACTCCCTCTGGCTTAAACTTTAATTTCTCTTTAAAATAACTCTTCTACCCCTTTCATTTCCAGTCCGGCGGCACAACAGTTCCCCTTGAGCACAACACGGTGCGATTTGTGGACAACTTTAGCGCCGGCACGCGTGGCTCTGCTTCGGCAGAATACTTCCTGGACCACGATTATGCCGTGATCTTCATGCACCGCCACAAGTCGCTGGAACCCTTTACGCGCCACTTTACCGGTCAACAGTTCTTCGACATGCTGGACATTGCAGACAATAGCCTAAGCTCGACGATAGCCATCAAGCCGGACTCGGTGGACGTATTCGCTCCGGTTCTGGCCAAGTATAAGATTGCCCGCGAGACGCAGATGATCCTGTACGTGAACTTTACCAGCGTGGTGGACTACATGTGGCTGCTGCGCGCCGCCTGCGAGTGCCTGGCTGCCTTCGAGCAGCGAGCAGTGCTCTATCTGGCGGCGGCCGTATCCGATTTTTACATACCCGAGGACATGATGGTAAGTTGAGAGTCCGGAGTTCGGATTATGTGGGATGTTCGAAGTGGGGCGGCCATGTGGGAAATCTCGTAATTGATTGCGCTTGTCAGTGGGCGAGTGCGGAGTGAGTGGAAATTGGTTTTTATCGATTCTCAAAGCTGCACAGAAACAAAAAAAAACAAAAGTCGTAGGGAAATAGAAAGACATGGGTGTTACAGAAATAACTAGGGTTTTTAAAATACCTAAAAAGGTGTCCAAAATTAGGCTTTAAAAGTTTATATTGTAAAGAGAAACAAATTTACACTGAATTAGTTACCATAAAAATAAAATCGCTTAATTTTTTACAGATTTTTAAGAGTTTTAAAAACCTTAGTAAAAATAAGAAAAGTATAATAAATTCTTTAAAGAGAAAGACATCAAGCTTACCTCAATGATTTAACAGAAATAAATTCTAAAAATACTATTTATGGCTCTTGATAGTTTTTCACTGTGTGCACTGCCCTTGAGCCTGGCGCTCCATTCGATTCCCAGTTGTTGAGGATGTCCCCGGTCTGCCCGTGACACATTTCCTCTCCACATTATTGACGTTCGACTGGGCTAAGTCAACTATGGTGGTTGCTACTGATGCCCTAGTTCCACCATCTCCTGCTGCTGGCCACAGGAGCCTTATCACAGGCTGTCAGTGTCACTCGCAACGGCCTTGTGGCCTTGTCCGCCAGCCAGCAGCCTTAACATTGTCATCGTATAATTTGATTTGCATAATTTCGCTTGTTACCGTGTTTCTGTGCTACGCTTCACTTGGATTCGTGCCACCTACGCCACCAACGCTGGCGCTCCCTTCGTTTTTCTAGTATCCCTTCACCTTTAACCACCGCCCACCCAACCCATCAATCCATCCATTCATTCAGTCTTATATATCGAGTGGGTGGGTGGGCTGGCTGGCTGGCTGGTGGTGTTTACTTGTCACAATCCCCACGCTTCAGCCCCCCGAGCAGTCTGTCACCTGACTTGTTGGCGCATATTCAGGAGGAGCAGGAGCGACAGGATGGGTAGGAGCAGCGGGAAAAGGCTTTCAAGTGCATCAAATGTCCATTGGTGGGGCGTGAATGGCTCTGGCTGACAGCCCTCTTTATTTACCTGCCCGTTTGCATTTGCATACCATCCCACATGCACTTTGTATGAACATACGGCTGGGGTCAAAGAAATAAAAAGAAACAAATCTACTACTATTTTATAGGTTGCCTTGACTTATTTGAATTTTGACAGAAAATAGTAGTAGATAATCAAACCAAAAAAGCGGTTTTATTCGTTTATTAAATCCAATAAAATGTCCTCATGAAAACGCTTTAAACCGAAATTAAAGAATACAATGAACAATAGATTCAATGAATATTTAAAATTAGTTCCATATAAGATTTAATTCTCAGAATTGTTTTTTCATCACAGAAATGTTGAAAATTTTGGGAGTTTCAACTTTGGCGTCGAATTCCAAAGACATGGGCAATGGTCCACGATTGGGACTATTTTTTAGTAGTGCTGTGATGTATTGAGAGTAGGTCCTACCAAAAATAATAAAGGTAAGTCCAATTATATAGGCCACGTAATTCAAAATGTCGGCAAACATAGGTTTTTTGTATTCTTAGGTATACCGCGGAACCTGTAGGTGATGGAAAATAATTTTGTATGGGACTTTTACTCAGGAGCACCCAAATATCATGGAAAACTTGAAATGGTTCGTGGAAATTTCACAAAGTTTAATTTTGTGTTCCTGTGTAATAGGTTTAAATTGAGAAAGAAACTACTGCTTAATAGCTGTGGATATTTTTACATTTTTTAAATAAAATAGGGACCTCTTAAAATCATTCAATATTTTTTACAAAATAAGCCGAAAAGCTCAAAATATCTCAACTATCTAACTATTTAATATTAATTTGAAATATATATTAAATAACCTTTTAGAACGGAACTGTCCGTCAAGGGTTCCTATTTAGCTCTTGAAAACATAAAAACAAACTATAGTATCCTGGTAATTTCCCAGATTTGCTCCCTTTTTTTTATCGCCATCTTAAGTGCTAATATCTTGGCCTGTATCTGTATATAACATAGTAGATGCTATGGCTGGTAAACACGAGAAACTTTTCCAGCCAACCGCCTGAGCCTGATTGTGATTCCGATGCCGATGCCGAGCATCGTCGTAGTAGCATTTCCCACGCCCTGTTTCCGCTCAACTCGTGCATTTCCCGTTCGCCATTCTGCTCAAGACACTCGCCCATTTTGTCTCAGAACATGCTCGTCCGTGTGTGTGTGTGCTTGGTGGGCGTTCATGGGTGTTAGCCACAAATCGTCCGCTCACTTGATTAAATTGTTTGAAGCTCTCACAACGGCAGCCAGTAACCTTTGGCGGAAAGGCAGAAGAAAATGCCGAAAATGCCCTAAATGGCGAGAATGGCCTGTTGATGTTTATGCACGTGTCTAGCCCAAAATATATGCGCATATTTGTGGCCTCGTCTTTGGTAAGAGCTGCCTGGAGGAAGTCTTATTCCCGGGGCTACACGAATTGCCTGCAAATCGATTTGGATTTGCATAATAACCACTTGGCACTGTATAAATAGAAGCAGTCAAGCTGGCTGCAACTACCTTTGAGTTAGAGCTGCTGCTCTTTGACTACTTGTGCTTCAAGGACTTTATATTTCTTGCTTTGTACTGAAAAGTAGGCTACTAAAATCTATTTTTCCCCATTAACAAAAGTTTCCCTTTGGCGAATTGAAAACTCATCCAGCCAGCTCCGTGGGGCTTCAGGCCAAGCCAAGGTCAGCATTCAAGCCAGGCTGAATTCCAACAAGTCAAACCACAGTCGAGACACGTTTCCCGAAGCCACTTGCCAAAAGTTTGTCGCCGCTAACATACATACATATATAAACGAGTGTGGGTGTGTGTATTGGGGGGCACTTCAAGGGAAGACGATACTAAAAATTCAATTTCACAATCGCATCATCACGAAGACGACGACGACGCACACGCCCTCGAGAGAACAAGGCCTAAAAGCCTTTACAAATTTATGCAAGGACCCACTACACTATACACAATTTGAATTAATTTGGGACAAAGCGGTAGGGAGACCAAAAGCAAATTGTAATAAGTAAAAACAAACAGAGAATTAAAAGAGTAAACTTTCGAGGCAGGCAGGACAAAAAGGCGACGTGCCGAAATCCGCAAATCAAATCAAAAGATTTTACAAGAGCACGCATCAACGCACAGCACACAGAGACTACTACAGCTGGGCCCTAGTTGCTGGAGGGAAAGGAAAAAGAGGAGGAAAGCGAATTCAATGTCAACAGCTGCTAGCATTTCCCAGCAAAACCGAGAGCCACAAAACTTTTTTTCCCTGCAAAAAGCTTAAAGTCCCTTCCTTTCTCTTTTAGATTCGACTTCTTCCCTTCGCTTGTTTCGTTGTCGACTTAATGCCTTGAGCTAAATTTTTCATTTCTCCTCTCAATGCACAATGTCGTCGTCCCCCCGGCTACTTAGGCGTGGTCTGTCGTCTGGCCTGTCCATCCGTATTGTCCTGGACAAAGGCGGTCCCGGATAAATGAGACTGGTCAGCCAGCAGCTTAGAGCAGCTTACGGGCAGTTAATGAGAATGGAAGCGCTCAACAAGTTGTTCTCTTAGTGGGTGGCCCACGCGGCGTATGTGCAATATAAATATACGTATTTTGAAAGGCTTTAAAAAAGAGCCTTGTGGTGGAGAATGTGCAGCCAGGCGTTGCCTTTAGCTCATTACGGCTGAGTTATGCTTTCAATTAGTTGTAATTCATATGCCACGTGGCGGCAGCACTGAAAAGGGAGAAGGAAATAAGAAAAAAAAGGAAATAACCAGCCCTGGCCTTTCATTTTGCCGTCAGTCTGTCTGTCTGTTTGTCTCTCTGTTTATTTTGCAAGGACACTTTGCTGCCCGAGAGAGTGGCTGTGACTGTGTGTTTGTGCTGCATTGTGTGTGCGGTGGCTTCGTCCTTTCCATTTAAGAGGATGTTGTGCTATACGTCGGTGGCTTTTGTGGCCAACGAACCAGCGAGCCATATTACATCGTGTATACGCATCGTGGGCGCGGAGCTCATCATTCCATTAAAAACACTAACCGCTGTCAACATTGGATTTCATCTCTCTTTCTTTCCCTTCGCAGCCCACCCACAAAATGCAATCGGGCGACGGAGCGCCGACGATTTCACTGCAGCTGGTGCCAAAAATGCTAGCACCCCTCGCCAGCCTGTGGGTACCGCACGCCTTTGTGGTATCCTTTAAGCTGGAAACGGACGAAAGCCTATTGATTGTGAAGGCACGTGACAGCCTCAACAAATACAAGCACAAGGTGAGCGCGGGGTAGGGTGGACTACAACCACAACCAGAACTCTGTAATTCTAATTTCTTCCGCTTCCGCTTTCGTCTCCAAATCCTCATCCTCCATCCTTTAGCTGGTCATTGCCAATGTGCTGCAGACACGCAAGCATCGCGTGGTGTTCGTCACGCCCACGGACTCCTATGAGCTGCACTTGAGCCGCGAACAGACGCTGCAGGGGCTAGAGATCGAGGAGCCCATTGTGGCCGATGTGGTAAGTGACGGGGTTAATTCTCTGGGAATACAAATCCTTTGTGACCTTCCTTTTTTCAGGTGCAAAAGCATGGCGAATTCATCAGTAATGCCCAGCAGCGTCAATGACCGTTGTCTATGCGCCGCCGTCAGACTCAGCCGCAGCAGCATCCGCATCAACATCAACACCATCTGCAGCAGCAGCAACTCCATCAACAGCTGGTTACTGACGACGACGACGACGACGAGGCTGGTGATCTGGATTTGGATCGGGATCCTTATGGCGTGACCAGTTCGCATTATTGTCGCGTGCTCAATCCGGGCACGCCAAGCTTTGCCCGCAAATATTGAGCAGGGACTAGGATAGTCGATACGGTGAATATAGAGGTGGTTTGCATATTCCTCAACGTTTTGGTGGATCTATTTATGGTCACGCCTCATAATTGATGTGGCCACACTCTATTGTTTTCATACATATACATATATATATATATTAGTTAATGTATTTTCTGTTTATTGTTGTCGCAAGAAATGATGTCACTTGTATGTATACGCCGTGCCGCGGTCTCCCATCCTTGTTTCCTTTGTCCCTTTTGTTTAGCGGCACGTTTATGTCATCGAGTATACGCCACCGCGTGTTGCGCAGACATCAATAAGCGATTTTGATTTATGTACGTACGGAAGAGCTTATGATTTCCTATATATATATTTAATGCAGCATCGATCGGGCTTTGTGGAAATTAAATCCCCCAAAAGGGACGTGTTTGAAATGTGTTTAAAAGTGTAGAAAGCTGCATGCAATGGCAATTTGCTGTCCCTGGACAGGCGACGCGACAATTGATTTGCCTGTTTTGCATATATATAGTATATATAAAGCAGGGTCTGTCTAATGTCCTTGCCGGTTGAAATTTATGGCGGCTCAAGCCTTGGCGCTTGTCTGTCCCAAGCAGGTCAAGTGCCAGCCCGGCAAAGGTCAGCTTAAAGCACCTCAAATTGAGTTTCAAAGCGTTGTAACACAAACCTAATTAACACACACATACACCGACAACACACTCCTTTACCCGAAACTGAGTTATTTCTTGGCAGGCTGTCCGTATCCTCAGGGTCCTTTTGGCCGACGCCGCCACTGCCGCCTCTGCACATTTTTATTGCACGTTATGCTGTGTTTTCCTTCCCCCTAAACTGGCCTGCGGTGACGGGGGCTGTTTCGTATCCTCCTTTCCATGGAGTTGTAACCACTTCCGTCCCGCCCGCATTTGTGGTTTTGTGCTTTGTGCAGCCCCGAGAACTATACAGTGTTTTTGCGCCCTTTTTTTTTTCTGGGTGGAAAAAAATTTGAATTTTTTCCCAGGCCGTTTTGTGGGGGCTGGCCGGGGTCTTTTGTTTGTGCCTGCATCAAATTAAATTTTATTGCGCTCGCACGCACCGCAAACACTGGGAAAAAACGTGGCAACAGATACGAAACGAGCAGCACAATCACACTTGTGGCTTAGGATTTAAGCCAGGCTCCGTTTTCCGTTTCCGTTTTCATACGTTTTCACTTTCATTTTCTTGGCTGCGAGGCTTTTATTGCCACACCTACACACACACACACCCCGGCGCACATATCAAGTCTCCCTCGTGCTGAATTCTGCCTCGTATCGATTGCGCATTAAAGTATAAACATAAAAATTCAGTTTGCCAACAAGAGTTGCGTACAATAAAATATGTATAACTAGCCAAGAGGTGGTGGTTGGACAAGGACTCCTCCTTGGGATGGTCCCGACCGAGGGAGCCAGATGATATTTGCCTTAATTGGCAAACAGTGTATGTTTTTTTATTCCCGTTTTCTGTGAGCTTAAACCACGAGGATATTTGCCAATAGCAGTGAATTAACAAAGAAAATACTATATAAACGATGAGTATTCAGACCTTGGAGAAAATCTCTTCATATCCCCGACTTAGGACTGAATTCCAATTGATTTTTAGCAAGCAACTTACAACTTCTTACTTGATCATTAATCTCTCTAACCGAAAAAAGCAAGTACTTTTCGTCTAAATAAATTATGATAACCAAGAGCGGACTATAAGGAAAACCCAAGTGAACCAATTTGTTAAAGTTTCAATATCCAATTCGGACCAAACACATACGATAAATCGAACAACTTAATTGATATAGTAAACATATATATATATATACAATATATCTCTATGTATACCTTCAAGAAAGAAAACAAAAAGAAACCGAGGAATTTCCATTGAATATTTACTCTCTACAAAAAGCATTTTGCCAGTCAAGCTAGATAACTATTTTATTGTTGAAATTGGCCTAAAAAAAATCTTAAACTTAAAAATAATGCAGTTATAGTTGCTGCATCCTGCCCCTGTCCTTGCCCCTCTCTCTAACCGGAATCCAAGAGCTGTTAACTGTGTAAAACCGTTGTAAAATGTTTACCACAAATGTACCATATATAAGTATATATATATACCTTATTGAGTGTACTCATCTATACATACATCTACAAAAGATACATTAAATATATATATATTTGAGTGTGTATTAAACTGGAAATGAAATAGCTTTAAATGTGTAGATAAACTCAAGTGTTTTATTTCTTATCTTCGGGGATTTGGGGCTTAGTTTTTCTATATATACAATATAAAATATAAAAGGAGGAATCTCTGATGCGAAAGTATACATTATCGACAATAAAATTAATGTTGCTGAACCAGTTGATATGTTGCCAGCGTCTATGGATGTTTGTCAACATGTTCCTAGCAACATTGGCCTAGCAACATGTTCTTTGTGTTTTTCGCCATATTGAAGGCTAGTTTCAATATATATAAAATATTACACAATTTACAGGAAAATTACTCGTTTTTATTATTAACGAAATATCACATAGTTATAGTTATCCCTTTTTTAAAACCTGTACAAGGTAATTTCTTAATTATTACTTTACTTTCGATCTTTACAAACTGTAAATGCCCTTTGTGATTATATATTAATTATTTAATTCTGCAAATCGGTAAACTTAAACTTGAGCGGTATGTTCGGAAGATTGATTAGGGCAGACTTGAAGGCGTTCTCCGTGGGATAATTGAACTCCACCTTGAAGTTGCGAATGATTCGGGCAATGCCCAGCTCCAGTTCCATCTCCACAATGCGCTTCCCAACACACATCCGGGGTCCAAATCCAAAAGGCAGGAACACGAAGGGATTCTTGGACTTGAGCTCATTGGCTGGGCACTTGGACTGGTCATCCTTAGGGGTGCGTAGCCAGCGCTCAGGCAGGAATTCGGAAGCTTGTGGGAAGTATTCATCGTCGGTGAGCGGATGCAGCGGAACTATGGATATATAGGTGCCGGCAGGCACTTGATAGCCACTAAGAACACTGTCCTTGGCAAGGACACGGGCATTTCCAACGATAAGTGGGCGGACACGTTGCGACTCCTTGATGCAGGCACGCAGATACGGGACATTCTTCATCGAGGCCTCAGTGAACTCCGAGTCCTTTTGGGGCAGCACCTTCATCACCTCCTCTCGCAGCTTTTCTTGCTTTTCCGGATTTTCGGCGAGGCACAGCAGCAGGGCAGCAAAGGTGCTCGAAGTCTGGATAAAAGCATGAGTTATATTCGGAATCTAGAGATCCCTCAACCAAATACTCACCGTATCCACTCCGGCCATCAGCATGTCCATGGCCATTACGGTGGCCACCTTTTTGTTCACCTTTAGGAGTTTCTCCAGGACACTTTGTTCGTTCTCCGGCCGCACCACTCCCTCCTTGGCCTCCTTCTCCAGGCGCACGATCGCCTCCTCCACATAGGCCGATGTCACCTCCTGGATGCCATCGAGGGCGGTCAACAAACGCTTCAACTTTGGTGTCTTGATGTACCGCCACGGCGAGGGCTTCATCTCAAGGTCAGCGGCTACTATGAAGAATTCATCCAGGTAGTGGAAAAGCCTGAGGGCTTCACTCTCCTTGTTCACATCCTTGAGCAATCCCAGCTGCTTGTCCAGGGCCACCACAGACACAGACTCGAGGGTCCACCGGTTGACGGTGTCTATGAAATCATCGGGCACCTCCAACGTATTGGTATCTCTGGTTTCCCTAATGCTAATCCAGGAAGATGTTGTATTAGGAACTTTAAGTTTATAAGATTAAAGAGGTACCAACCGTTGCACAAACTCCTGATTAACCAGGGACATCTTCTTGTAGTACATCCTCACATTCTTGGGTTGCATGAGGACCGGATTCACCGTGGTGCGGAAGTCACCCCAGGACTTTCCTTGCGAGGGAATGATGCCAACGACGCCGTCGTAGAAGTCTTTCTGGTACACCTCGCGATGATAGCGCAGGGTGTCGTTGCCGGGACGATGGGGCCACACGCCCTCGTTGCGAAAGACCACCTCAAAGTCCTCCGGATTGTGGGTGCTCAGGAAGGCGGGGCCTCCCATCATGCCGGGCATGAAGAATATTTCCCCATAATCCCGTCTCATGCTCTTAAAAATATCCATCAATTCCATATTTTTGTATTTGCCGCCGGGCATGGACATTTTCATCATCAAAGACACCATGTTTATGCGGGGGATTTCCTCAAATGGCTTGGCCTGCAGCCATTCGGAATCTCCCCTGGCCTCAGCTGTGGCCACATTGGTTTGCCAACGCTATTAAAAATTTAATAATAATTATTATTATATTTTATGTATAAGAATTTGTTCTATGTATTTCTAATTTCTTTTAGCAGATATTATAAAAAGTTCACACCACTTGATACGCCCGCCTGATAGTTCTCTAGATTAATTGTTTATATTTAAAAAAATTATTTACCTTCTGATTGCCGAGCGAGAGAGCCGCTTTTTGCGACTGAATTAATGCTGATAGTCCACTGCGCACTTTCAACATTTTTGCAATGTCTACGAACTTGTCTCGTTCACCGCCAAAACAAAACTGTGTGCTCCCGCAGGCGGTCGTTCCTAATAATTACTTGATTTTCCTAAGGCTGTGAGAGCTTTGCGGCTTAATTGGACGATAACAACCTACACCAGCAGAGAGATAGCCGTCCGTCCAGCAGAGAGAAAATGAACTAAACAGGTTTGCGAGAACTGAAACACTTAATTTATTAAAACATGAGAGCATTCCTGCTCAGAGAAGCGGTGGGGTGGTATCATATAAATTGTAGCTACAAAGAACACACATAGAACTGTGTCATATTTTTTATCTGCCCCTAAAAAACATTCACCCACACAAGAGCTTAATAAACTCGAAACAAATTAAATGCTAGATTGTCGCATCGTATCGGTCAGTGTCAATGGCATTGAAAACTAAATGTTGTCAGCATGACAAGCAAGTAGTCCAGAGGTTGGGCAAACAAGTAATAAAATACATATATATACATTTATTTAGAAAATACAATAAACAGAACATTTAGCTACAATTTCTATAATGTTATAGCTTGCAGAATTTATTATTTGATTTATTTAATTTATTTACAAGTCTAATATAACTTATCCAATTTATCCAAGTTCTCCTGTTCTTCCTTTCGTTTAACCTATAAATACCTTGATTTCAGATACTATAAGAGTAGAGTTCTCTACTTGGTGATTGTTGTGCAACATCGAAATGTTGCCAGCAACAATAGATGTTGTTCCACATATTCTTAGCAACATTTTCATGTTAAGTTAAAGCTTTTAAACAAAAACACCCTTTTAGTAAAAATAAAAATTAAAATATGTTATTTAGTCCGGATTTTAATTTAATGCACTGAAAGAAATTGCTTCCTTAATAGTTGGATCTCACTTAAGGCATAATATATTAACAATTCTATAAACTTAACAATAAAAAAAATATACTATTCACACACCTATCTTATCACAACAGAAAATATCAAAATCCATTCAAAATTGTTTCAATTAGTTGGGTAAATCGGTGAACTTAAACTTAAGCGGTATGTTGGGTAGATTGACTAGAGCCGAGCGGAAGGCATTCTTGGTAGAATGGTTAAACTCCACAGAGAAGTGCCGCAGGAGTCGGGCAATGCCCAGTTCCAGTTCCATCTCCACGATGCGCTTGCCCACGCACATCCGGGGTCCGAATCCAAAAGGCAGGAACACGAAGGGATTCTTGGTCTTCAGATCATTTGCTGGACAGCCGCCGGCAGAATCGTTGGCATTTCGCAGCCAGCGCTCGGGTAGGAAATCGGAGGCTTTTGGGAAGTACTCCTCACTGGTCAGAGAACCTATGGGAACCATGGACACATAGGTACCAGCCGGAACCCGATAGCCACTAACTACCGAATCCCTGGACAAGCCGCGAGCGTTTCCGACCACCAGGGGATAGATCCGCTGGGATTCCTTAATGCAGGCACGAAGATATGGGACATTCTTCATGGAGGCCTCGGTGAACTCGGAATCCTTTTCGGGCAGCACCTTCATCACCTCCTCTCGCAGTTTTTCCTGCTTCTCCGGGTTCTTGGCAAGACAGAGCAGCAGGGCAGTAAAGGTGCTTGATGTCTGCATAAACGTACAAGTTGATTTAGGATTCTAGAGATTCTATAACCAAATACTCACCGTATCCACTCCAGCCATCAGCATATCCATGGCCATTACGGTGGCCACCTTTTTGTCCACCTTTAGGAGCTTCTCCAGGACACTTTGTTCGTTCTCTGGACGCACCACTCCCTCCTTGGCCTCATTTTCCAGTCGCTGGATCGCCTCCTCCACATAGGCCAATGTGATGTCCTGAAGGCCGTCCATGGCCGCCAACATTTTCTTCAGCTTAGGGGTCTTGATGTAACGCCAGAGCGATGGCTTCATCTCCAGATCGGCTGACAGCACAAAGAAATCCTCCAGGTGCTTGAAAAGCTTAATGGCCTCGCTGTCCTTGCCTTCCTCCGTGAGCAAACCCAGCTGCTTGTCGAGGGCCACCACAGACACCGACTCGAGTGTCCAGCGATTGATCGTGTCTATAAAGTCACCAGGAACCTCCTGAGTGCTGGGATCCCTTATGTTCTTAATACTAAAAATAGGATATTAAATTGAGTTGAAAACTTTAAACTCTATTTTATTAAAAGAGTCTTACCGCTGCACAAATGCCTGATTGACCTGGGACATCTTCTTGAAGTACAACCTTACGTTCTTGGGCTGCATGAGTACGGGATTCACAATGGATCTAAAGTCGCCCCAGGGTTTGCCCTGCGAGGGAATGACACCCTCTACGCCCTGGAAGAAGTCCTTTCGGTGCACTGTTCGATGGTAGCGCAGGGTATCGCTGCCAGGCCGGAAGGGCCACACGCCTTCGTTACGGAAGACCACCTCGAAGTCCTTCGGATTGTGAGTCATGAGAAAGGCGGGGCTGCCCAGCATGCCGCCCATGAAGAATACATCACCATAATCCTCTCGCATGGCCTTGAACATCTCCATCAATTCGAGATTTTTGTACTTGCCACCGGGCAGGGCGATTTTAGCGAATAGGGAAAGCATATTGGCCCGTGGTATCTCCTCGAAAGGCTTGGCCTGCAGCCATTCCGGATCGTCTCTGGTTTCAGCGGCAGCCGCATTCGTCTGCCAACGCTGGAATGTATCATAAACATAAGTTTTTCCCACAGCCATATGGTTTTTTGAATAATTTTTTCGAAAGAGCAAGTCGATGTAAGTAATTCTTATGGGGGAAAAATTATTATCTCATAGTTTTATTTGAATTTCCGAACAAACTCCTAGTTTTTATAGCTTTTGTCTGCATAAAAAATATGTTGTTTACCTGTTGACTGGTGGAAAAGAATGCCGCTCTTTGCGACTGAATAATATATAGACCGATCCGCCCTTTCAGCATTTTTGCCACGCTATGAACTTTGCTCGCTCTCGGCCAAAGTGAAACTAACTCATACCAGTGCTGGGGTCTATTAGTTTTATATTCCTAAGGCCGGCGGCACTTTCCTGCTAATTTCGGCGATAACAAATTAAATACAGAGAACGAGAGAGGGAGCGCCAAACAGGTTCCCGAGAGCTTTGCAAACAAAATCATATGGCAAACAACACTCATTCAATAACACAAAAAACTTACGAATAATATGAGGGCACATCGATAGGAATATACTTCTTACTCTGGGTCTTGTCTGTAAATTTTTAAAATTATATAATAAATAAAATCAAATCTAAGAACTATTCAAACTAGATTCTAAGAAGGCTTAATACAATTTCCCATCAGTATCCAATGTTCCATGTTCAACATTCAACATATTCAAGTTGGGAATTTATTTAGAATTATTTTTAACTTATATACCCCGACTCTTATCATATAAATTAAGCGGTATTATCGCTAGTATTATTGGTCAGTTCCTTTGGCATAGGTTCAAAAATATTGGGACGCAAAAAATGAGAGAATATATTGGGAATACATATATATGTATATTGCGCCAATAGTATTTTATCTAATCAGCTGTGAATGAGTTTGCACCAAACTTTTGACTGTGGCAAACAATTTCGTGACTGCGAGGATACCATTGCATCAGACTGATGGCACCTGGTAATAGGCAATTGTTTACTTTGTAGAAACTATAAAAAATACAACTAAGAAAGAAAGCTACAGTTGATAGTACCTAGCCTTGAATTACCTGGTATTTAAAGCTCAGTGAGTTAAATTAATTAGTTCTTGAACATGACCATTAATCTCTAATTTACTTGGTATTCAATCTAACCTGACGGAATGCTCAGAAATATGTTGCTAAGAAAATGTTGTTAAGAAAATGTTGCTAAGAAAATATGGCTAGCAACATGGTGAACAAACATTTGAGGCAGTATCAACATCTTGAAGTTTCAGAGATACTTTATTATCCAATTAATCCCATTATTAACCAATTTTACTCAAATTTTAAAAGCACAATTACTAAAGACTATTTATATAGTATTTATAAACTTTATACAGAAATTCACAATACCCTAGGAGTACAAACCACAATCAAGTGCTTATAGGTTTCCATTTATTTAGACTGTATTTTGTTTAGGTTTACCATATATATTTATATGTATAAGTATTTGTTCAAACACCAAAGAGTTTTGTTTCGTTTTGCTAATCAAATTGTTGGCATACTCTCTCATATATAATAGTTGATTGCAATCCGATAAAGTATACAAACGTATGTACGCTTACAGGAAAGTATAAATATATTCGTTTATATTAGGTGACTTACAAGTAGATTACAAATTAATTAAAGTTGCACAAATCGCTTGATATAGGCATATATTTTTACATGACAATTTCCGCGCGAAACAATTTGGCACGCTGGGCAAAGATATATAGATATATATATATTATATATATGTATTTTATGCGTAAATGGGGCGATTGAGAATATATTTATATATGTTTCATTCGTTGACGCTATGGACTAAGTGTCTATGACAGTTTCGTATTCGTATAGTATGGTTAAGATAATTCCTTTAGCCTTGTGTTGTGTTCGGGTTTAACTAGAAGAACATCTATCTGGAACTAATCCTGGCTGGCCGGTCCGCTGGCAGCTGCCTGCTGCTGGTAGCTGCACACGATCTTGGCCGCATCGTTCATCATCTTGGCCGTGGAGCGGACGAGGAACATCAGATGACACTCGTCGTACACGGTCAACTCCACCCGGGTGCGCACTAGTCCGTGAAGCACCGTGGCCCTTTCCAGATCCAGCCAGCGTTGCAGAGCCAGTTCCCGCTCCTTCACAGAACCCGTGAGCGCCACATCCGAGGGACCCCACAGCACAAACTCCAGCACGGCCTTGGCCTTGGACAGCGACTCGGCTCGCTCCTGCTGAAGGATGTCCGCCAGAACGGGCGTGATCTTGGTGGCGGGCAGCATGTCGGTCAGCGCGGAGTGGGCGCACTTGCACAGCGTGCCCATGGGCTCATCATCGTCGTTGTTGTTGCTACGAAAATATAAATTCTATTAGTAAAATTTCTCGACTTCAAAGTGGGTTTCAACTCACCCCTGCAGCACACAGAGACGTGCCTGGGCATCCTTGTTGTCCATGTCCTTGGACAGTACCACATTGGACAAACTAAGCGGCGTCTCCTCGATCGCCTTGGCCTGCAGGTTCTTCATTCCATTGACCAGCTGCAGCATTATGAAGGCCACCTCCCGCGTCATTACATCATCGAATGCGGGCATGGCATTGGCATTGCTGCAACCATCCTCTCCAGAGCCTGTAATGCTCGGCGATTCCTCGTTCAGGGTGCTCAGATTCTGTACGGAGACCACGTTCCGTAGATTTCCGGCGCTCGAGCCATTACCATCCTTCAGGCCACTGAGATTGGGAATGGAGCCGCGGAAGTTGAAGTTGCTCTTGTCCAGCACCTGCGACTTGCCCTTGAGTATTGCTCCGATCGACTGCAGTGTCTCCAGCTGCAGTCTGGGCAGCACCGAGATGGTGGCCTGCAACAGGGTCACCTCGGTGGAGGGCATCAGTGGCAGCTGGTAGCTGGGCACCAAATCGCAGAACTCGGTCACTGGATTGAGCACATCACTTACTCCGCCGGTCAGCTGGCTCAGCTCGCCACCCACGCCGCCCAACTGGTTACAGTCGGCGGACAGGGCCAGGGTCACCGGCGATGAGCTCCACAGTGCTGCATGGAAGGCCTTCTTGCCCACCACAAAGGCCTGGGCGCCCTCCAGTATGGAGAAGTCCTCGTAGCGCAAGTTGATGGCATTGGCCAGAGGACGCAGGGCTGTTGGCACCACGGGAGTTTGCTGGAGCTTTGATTTGAAAGAGAGAGAGATATATATATATAAGTTAGTCTTATTCCTGGTTTGGATTTTGGTAACTCACCTGATCGAGCACTTGGGCTAGGGCCTCGTGATTGGCCACCACCACGGCGGTGTAGTTGTCCTCGATGGTCTTGTGCACGACACTGCGTCCCTTGCGCATGCGCAAACGATTCGTGGCCTTGCTGCGGTTCTTATTGCCCTAAAAATCAAAATTAAAGTTAAAGTATATATCTTCCAAGTATATGTCTTGTATAATCCACCTGTGGCATGCCCCAGACGCTGTCGTTGATGTCCGTTGCCACATCGCCGCCTGCCTCGCTGCCGTAATAGCTATACGGAGCATAGATGTCGAACTCGCCCACCTCACTGCCGGCATACGAGGCGGAGATGATGCGTGGAATGTTCGCTGAAAAATTATACAAAATTAAAATGAAGAATATATATAGATTATCTATCAGATCTTAGACCTACCCAAACTATTGTTCAATCCATAGTTCCGCACTGGACCATATTCGCTGCGCGTATAGCTGGCAATGGAGGCCGTGTCTGAGTAGATGTTGTTGTTGTTGATATTGCGCCTCGTGGCCTGGGTTAATCTCTGACCAGCCACGGAAGCCAGATCTAGATTGCTGCGCGTTGGCGGCGGCGGAGGCGTTGAAGTGGAGGCAGAAGTGGGCGTGGCTGGGCCATTAGCCGTGGTCGGCGGCGGCGAACCCATCTTCACAAACTCGTACATATTTTCATAGTCGCGCTTGTCCTTCAGGTAACTATCAATGGTGCTGTTGATCTTGCGCACTGAATCCTTCAGGCTGCTCCTCTGGGCTGTGTCCGTGGCATCTCCAGAGTTCGAACGCTGCTCAAAGATCTCCAGTTTGCTGGAAATGGACATCTTCGGCTCGCTCTTCTTTTGCGGCATGGTCCGCTCAAAGGTGCTGGTCCGGCTGTTGGCCGAAGATGCGGACTTTCCAGAAGCTTCTGGCTGGAGTCCAGAGCCGGTGGCAGTTGGCTTAGACAATTCCTTGCCCTGATCCGTAGCTACATTCTCACCGTTTGACGAGCAAATGGAGATAGTGTCGGTAAGGACACCGCGCTTGCGCACCAGTTCCAGCTGAGCCTCACGCTCCCGCATGCTGGCAGTGCGCTCCGGCTTGCGCGGGGCGATTGAGGAGCGGATTTCTCCTGGAAAAAGAGGAGGGAAAATGGAAATTAATGAAGGGAAAATAGGAGTTCATCGTGAGAGGGTCATGTAACCTGTCATTTAACTAAAGACTTTCAAGTATTGTCTGTTCTTAAGTTTAATAAATAAACCTATTTTTAAAAGTACTTTGCATAAAAAATGAAGTATTAATAAAATAGGGAAGCGCTACTGAGTAAATTATATCATATTATCATCAGGATCATTAGATCATATTATCGAGGAAGTAATATGGTAAGTCCTTTAAATATATTTAGAATATACAACTAGAATATACAACTAGACTTTTATACTACTGTTTGTATAGATTTTTAATATATTAATAATGGAATTTTTATGTATAAAATAACTTAATTCTAAACCTAATTTCGGAATCTTTTACATCTCAAAAATCTCCTAGAAAATAATTTTTTAACTGTGAACTTTCCTATTTCATATTATAATTATACAATATATTATACAAATATTTATTTAACTTATTCTACTTATTAGGAACTTGCCAGCTTTTAGTTATTTATCATGAACTGCTTAAATAGCCGATAAAAGTATCTATTTTTCAAGGCGATAAAGAGTTCTCATCTCTCTCTTTTTCTCTAACCTGTCTTAGCCTTAATTTATTCATGAGATTTCCCACCAGGCTGTCCTCAAATTTGCTTGGCCTTCATGGGGCCATGCCAAATGTTTGCCAGGCGCCAGAGAGTGGTGTGTTAAAGCCAACACAGCTCACCTGTCCGGGTAGAAGTTGGACAACCTGCGAGTACTAATTGCGATTTTGACCCAAATTCGTGCCAAATTACAATTCGCACTGGCGGCTGGTCGGTTAGGTTGAATGTGTTTGCTCTCTCTCTGGTGGATCTGGGATGCGAGATGTCTAACAAATGGTTCTTGCTTTGGTCGTGCCTCTGGATTGCCAGTTACCAGGTTCCAGGTGCAGCAGCAAGAGCAGCAGGTGTAACAAGTTCTGGCCATAGTTGACCGCAAAGTGTCAGGCCGAAAGAAATGGGTCTCTGGTCCAGTATTTTCACCAGGTCTACAGTTTTCCAGTTCTCTAGCTCTCGGTTCTATTCCTGCTCTGGCTAAACCAGCTAACCCGCAAAAACCAGCAACATGTGGTTACCTCATTGGCCTGGCCTGGTCGCTTGGCTTATTTTCATTTCGATTTGTTTTCATCTGGCCAACAAACTATTTTGCTCTCTGGCTTTGGCCACTTAACCCAGTTCGAGCAAGCTGCGGCTCATCACACTCGTTTGGATGCGGCGGATATGGTCATGAGTGGCCTGAGTTACCTGTATCCCCGCGCTTGTACCTCCGTTATATTGATTAAAATGCGTAACTTGTTCTGCGTTTGGATTCGGGTTCTAGCCGAGTTGTTGCTCTCGCCATTTACGGTGATTTTATTCGTGTTCTTGTTTCGCTTGTGGCCCCTTCCGATTGGAGTCAACGAGTCAACGAAGTGGGTGAAGTGCCCGGAGACCCTTCAGACCCACATATATCTTTGTAACATACAGACATGAGCTGGCTGTTTTTCTGAAGGTCGCCCTGAATTTTTGTATTTTTTTTTTTTTGAGGCGCTGTCAGGGAACGTGATTTGCTTACGCTTTCTTTTGGAATGCGATCGCTCAGGGGGAGAAATTTCTGGCGGGAGATGAGGGAGGACCCACGCCCACACCTCACGGATTTGGGTCAATGGAAACGAGATTGAAACTAGCTTTCAAGATTGGCGGAATTTCGCTAACATAAAATGCCAACTTCTAGGTGACCCAAACAAAAAGGAGTACGGGTATGAGAGCGAATTTTAATAAAAGAAACGTTGGCTGAAGTCTTTACATTCATGACTCACAATAAAGCCTAGTTGTTTGACCTTTGACTAACAAAAATGTATAATATTTCAAAGAATTAGCGAGTTAATTAGACATACTTTATGAAATTTAAGATTCTTTTTGAGTTATTTATGGGTATCAAGGATATCCCCAATTATAAGTGCCAAAATATTTTAATAATAAACAAGATAATTCCTCTCTTTAACTTACCCAAATTGGCATAGACATTGTCGGCCTTCAGCTTGACGGATCCGGAACCATTGCCCGAAGCCAGGACTGTGGACTCCACGCTGCTGGCACTCAATGTGGCCGTCAGTTCCGTCTTCTGCTTGCGCCGCAGCTCGGCACTCTTGGGCGGCGGAGGACGCGCCGGTTTGTTGGCCTCATGGGCGCGCTGTCCCTCGCTGGCACTGGAGCGTAGCGGCGGAGCTGGTGGCTTCGCTGTGACCACGGCCACGGTCTGAGCCGACACAGAGTCACTAGTCTTGGTGATGTCCTTCACCACCTCCACGGCTGTGGGATTGATGTCAATGGGATGGATAATCACCAGGCGAGGCTTGCCAGAGGCACTGCCCTCCTCCGTGCCAGTGCAGATTTCCGTGTAAATACTCGACTCTTTCTTGTTAAGAGATTCTCCGGACTTGGCGCCACTGCCACTGTTGCTGCCCATGCGCAAAAACTTCTTGATGGAGAATTTAGACTTTTGCTTCTGCGGCGGCGAGGCCGAGGGCGACGACGACTTCTTGTCGAGACCAGCTGCGGCCAGGCACTCCTCCGACATGGACAGGTGACGCTGATTACGGGGCGTTGGCTCTGGCGTCATCGGTTGCTTCAAGCTCAGCACCGAGCTGGCAGACTGCAGCTGCAGCTGCTTGGCGGCATTGGCACGCTGCATCACGAAGGTGTTGAGGCTGCGGAATTTGGGATTGATCACGGCCCGCTCTCGCTTGTCCTTCTCCCGGATGACCGGTGCTGCTCCGGCCGCCGGGAGGGCGGCTTTCCTGGTGTACAGACTGCTATTGTTGGCAGAAGGTGAGCCTGTCACTGTGGCAGATCCTGAGACTGCTCCTGGAGCAGCTCCAACGGGTGCTGATTTATCTCCGGATGGTGAATCACTCGAGCCCGGTGACGTGGTCTTTTCCGCTGGCTTTGCGGCCGCTTTCGTAGCCTGCTCGAACTCAACTACCAGACTGTAGTCCCGCTCCGGCGTGGGCGGAGCGCTCAGCTTCGGCTCCGGCGGCGGATTCGGGGCCTTGCCCTTTTTCAGCTTGGCCTCGTCAGCGGCTAGACTCTCTTTGGCCAAGAGCAGACTCTCGCTGGACTTGGAGATGGCCGACTGCAGCTGGCTGATGAACTGCTGCTCGGCGCAACTGGGCTGTCGCTTGCCCAGAAAGCTCTTCAGCGGCGAGTGGTTACTGGAGTTGGTGCCGGAGACGGAGCTGGAATTGCTGCTGTTGGTCACCAGTGGCTTCACTGGTAGCTCTGGCTTCTTGAGGCCATGCAAGAACGAGGGCCGGGCATCGATTTTCATTGGCGGCGGCGGTGACTTGGGCAAGGCGGGTAGCACCTGCTGCTCTGGCTGCTCCTTCTGCTGCTGCTTCAGCTCCAGGCTGTTGTCCGGATCGGCGCTGCCATCGGGCTCACCGTGGAGCTCTCGACTTTTGACTGCCGGCTTGGCCCCCGCCTGATCTCCCACTTGGATGTCCTCGTAGTCCGAGTTGTTGGTGCTCGCACTGAGTTTCTTCTCCACCAGAAGCTGCTGGTTAGCCGCTCCCTTGGCTGCGCCCAGGTTCTTGTACTCACTGCCCAAGCTGATGCCGATCCCCGAGTCCGACTCGCTGCGGATCATGTTGTAGGCATTCTCCTCGTCGGAGCTCCCATCAAAGCTGCTGCCCGTGGAGTCGAGAGCATCATCCGAGCTGCACTTGGTCACGATCAGGCCATCGGAGGTGATCTTGCTGGTCATGAAGTTGCCCTCGTGCAGGTTGTAGCTGGCTGCCCGCGTCTTCGAGCTGAGCAGCATGTCCGTGATGTACTGCGAGCTGGAGTAGTGCGAGTTCCCAGAGGCATCCGTCTGGGCGGCAGTGGCCACGCCCACCTGCTCCGAGTACTTGCCGTCGGGCAGGTTCTCGTAGCTCAGCTGAGTCTCCACCACGTCGTAGTAGGCGGACACCCCGTTCTCCGTGTCCGAGCAGTTGCTGTCAGTGTCCGAGTACTTGTGGCACACGTTCACCTTGGGTTTGGTCTGGTCCCGGGTGATGGGTGCATTCCGTGCGATGGGCTTCTTAAGGTCAAGAAATGGCTTCGGCGCGTCACTCAGGGCACTCAGCTCAAACTTGATTTTGTTGCTGGTGCCGGTAACGTGGCTGCTAACGCCTCCACTTCCGCTGGCAGAGGCTCCGCTAGTGGTTCCGGTCTCGCTCTGCTTGTGGTTCTGCTCTAGTGTCTCGGAGATCTCGTCCAGCAGGGACTTCTCCATGGCCCGCTCAATGGGTGGACTGTCCTTGCCATCTCGCGAGGATGTGGTTGTGGCCACTGTGCTGGCTGCTACTGTGGTTTTGCTGCTCTTGGTCATGGTCAGCGTGGGCGTCAAGGTGGTAGTCACTTTTTTGGTGACACTGGCTGTTCCTGTACTGGTGGTGGTGGTGCTGCTGCTGCTCTTGATGGCGGTTGTGGTCACGGTAGCAAGCTTGGCCTTGGCTGGCGTTGCTCCTGCAGAGGAAGTGACTGCTGTGGCGCTGGTACTCTTAGCAGCAGTGGAGGCAGCACTCTTTCCTAGGGGCTCCCCGAAGGGCATCACATTGATCGTGAGGGTTTGCTTCTTGCCCTCCTTGTCCACCTGCGGAGCCCCCAGCTTTAGAGCAGCAAAGGACTTTTTGATATTGTCCTCGGCATCACCCAGCAGGTTGCCATTGTTCATGTTGAAGTCAGTGTTGGCCCGAGTGATCCTCTTGAGTTCCACTGTCTCCTCATCATCCGTCTCCGTGATGGCCATGTCGTCGTGCTCATTGCCCAGGTTCATAAAATCGTGATCATCGTCGTCGTCATCATCGTCTGACCACTCGCCCCCATAGCCAATGATCTCGTGCAGCTGCTTGGGAAAGCACACCTTGCCAGTCTTGGAGCTCCCAGACTTGCTTGAGCTGGAGCTGGAGCCGGAGCCTGAGCTGGAGCTGGTCAGTCTCACGCCAAAGGCCTTCTTGATGATGCTCTTGGCCGGCGTCTTGTGTTTGTTGGGATAATCTGTCTTCACTTGACTCTCAGCCTTGTGGCTACTGCCACCGGACTTGGAGGCGGCTGCTGCGGCGGCTGCCTTATGCTCGTCCTTGGATTTGAAGCAGTTCGAACAGAGGTCCTTCTTCCAGGCATTCTGGGTGAAGTGCGCACAGATGGAGGACGACATCGTGGAGGCTTCTCGTTGCTCGTTGTCGACGAACAGCCTTAGGCCATATTCTGTAATGGAAAAAGCAGTCGTGAGTTATGGCTTACAGATGATGATGGTGATGACGCGATGGTTAGTTCATAAACCTAAACTTTCGTTTGCAAAAAAAAAACAAGAAATTGCGCAATCTCACTTAAGTTAACTTAACTTTCCCTGCCTGCAACACAATTTCTGGCCTGGCTTCTGCCGCATGACTCAATATTGATTGAGTGGAGAAGCTGGGCCTTCTGGTTGTGGCCAAATCATGGGCACAGACTGCCATTTGGTCAGGCGGCCGGCTTATCAATCAATCTTCATCTTGATAATGGAATTATTGAAATTTAACCAACGATGATGATGTGGCTGCCTGCTCCCTCTCTGGGAAATTGCTTTCTGCTGGGGATTTGGTGGCTCGATAGTTTGGCACTGGGAGTGCACTGTGACAGCCACATAATTAACTCTGATTGTCAAGCATTCGACAGGCGGCGGCGGAGGCCCTCGATTGCCGTTGGGTAATCGCAGCTGCCACCGCACTTGGCAGATTGTGTTGTTTACTTTGTTTTTCCATGAAAATGACTTTCTAAATGCAACAACCCAACCCCAAGCTGCACATGCTGTTGGTGCATGTTGACTCTGTCACAGTTGGTGTTCAGCGAAAAACCAAGGAAGTTCCACAAATCAAAAGGCGGACGGACGGACAAACTCATTTATGGCTTTGGAAGTGACTGCTTTATTTGGCCAGAGCGACGGTAGAGCTTCTAGAAATGATTCAAAGGCAAACTGGTTTCCTTCTAAGGAGTTAAACCATAAATTTTGATAATTTCCTAAACAAAAATAGAGAACGATTTGTAATTCCGTGAAATTTCCTGTGTAGAACTTTATTGGGGTTAATTTAATGAGTGTAGTAGTTTCAGAGATCTTTAATGGACAGCTTTTTATTCTTCCAAAAACTTAATGGAGCTTTGATGATTACTAATTTTTTGAATGTGAAACGGAACACTAGTTGTTTACACTGAAAATAAACTTAAGGGAACGCAAGAGTAAAGCAGATCTGATTGGAATACTTTTATTTTATATTTTAACATTAAGAATTTATTCTAAGTCTATCAACTTTAATTCAATGTAAAATAGTTTTCATGAAAAAAACTAGTCTAGTATTTAATAAGCTAAGTTTTTTTTGCTGAAAAATACCTCTAATATTAAAACAACTGTACTTCCTAGTAAGAGCAATATAAGTTACAAAATCTTATAAAGAAATTTTCATTCCTACACATTTTTTCTCCGTGCTTATAATGATCTGTATACCGTTCTTTAACGCCTCCCAAAATTCTCACTTCTAGATTCTTGTACTCTTTCTTGTGATTATTCCAGAGGGCATATCATTCGGGAAGATCACATTACACTTTACCAATTTATGACTGTTTAGCCGGAAGATCTTCTGCCAGATTACCAAACCCAACGCTTCTTTTGGGTGTTTCTTCCGAAACACTTCACACAACGAACCGAAAGCCAAACAATGTAACGATTTTGAGGTCTTTAAGCCATTAACTTCCCCATATGGCGGCCAGCATTGGGACGCAAGTGTGTCACATTGGCCAAAACACGTAGTTAAGGTGCCTAATTGGGAAAGTGTTGCTGGTGCGGTGATGATGTTGCTGCGACAACACCCACAGCGGAGCAACAATGGAGATGACAACAGCAGCCGGCACAGCAACAGCAACAATAACACTTTTTGACAGCTTTCGGTTAACATTTATCAACGCCAGCAGAGCGCCAAGGAAAGTTGACCCATTGTTAACCCATTGTTGCCGGCGTGCTCGACTTTTGTTGCTATTTTGCTGGTTCAGAGATGAGAATTTGTACTTTTTAGAGACTAAGAGTAATAATGTCAAGCATATTCTGTAGAAAAATCTCATCTAATTATTTTTAAGAATTAATATTCCTTTTTATTAGTAACATTGTCGCTAAACTATTGGTACTTCGAACCGGATAAGAAGGGCGGTCGGGCTAAAATCACAATTAGTCGTTAAACCAAGTATTTTGTATTGCATTTTGGCAAGAAGCTTTTTCTAAACATTGTTTATATTATATTAATTTAATAATCTAAAACCTTTTTGAGTATTTTTGAATGGTTTTTAAATACATTTTTTGGCAGCACTATTGCCGTTGTTGCTGCTCTTGCTTCTGTTGCTGCTGGCTGTGGCACGCTTGATTTCTGCATCTGCATCTGCTGGTAGATTTGCAGTTTTGGGTCAGCGTTTTGACTTGACGTTAATATGCATAAATCTCGGCTTTGTGCAACTCGGTCGCAGAAACAATTGGCATCGCATGGAATGGGGGATGAGGGAAGGGTGCCTCTCGGCCTAGCTATAGCGAATTGCATAACTGCGCGGGCTAAATGTTGCTACCGTGTTTCTGTGCTTTTTGTATTTCTTTTTTTTTGCCCGCATTGTTACACATAAATTTTAGCCTCTGCTCGCGGTTTTCGTTACCGTTTGTTTTTCTCTCCTCGGCAGCCGCTGCTTTTTGTTAATTGTTTGCATTTTTTCTTTCACTCATTTGCATTCGATTGCGGCATCGATTGGCCATTTATTTATGGCCACAACAAACAGCATAAAAACCAGGCGAGAGAGTTGTGCCCATTCTCATGGAAAGCAAGTGGAGCGGCGATCTCAGAAGGAGGAGCATTGAGCGAAAAACATACACAATTGAGTGAAACGAAGGCGATTTGGAAAACTGTCAAAGGCATAAAAGAAATGCAGAAAATGCCCAACAAATTGTACAGCCCATTTGACCATATAAAAGCAGTTTTTGCCAAGATGAAGATGGTTGTGTGGCATCGTCTTCCACTCGAATTGGAATGCAGCAGCAACATCGCCGCCAGTCGACAATCGGACAACATATCTCTAAGCTATTTTTTTCAAGTTTGGCTTGAGCTGTTTGCTGTGGCATCAGGAATGCTGTTTCCCCCGGTGAGATTGGATGGCCGGCGAAAAGAGAGATATCAGAGGCGTGTTGCAGCAAAAGTGTTACACAAATAAATCTACATAAATTGACCGAAAGCAAGCACTAAACTCCCGAACAGGACGCGCCATCAGCTCGTTAGCCATGTTTGCTGTCCATCTAAGGCGGAATGGATCACCTGGCAAATGGTAGGATTGTCTTGTCCTGTCCGTGGGCGTTACAAATTAATTGATGCCTCCGTGTGGATCTGGATTTGCATTTTGCATATATAAACAATCGATACCCGCGAAAATGGCCGTTAACGAAACCCGTTTCCATTCGTTACGGCGGCAACCCATTTTGTTGTTTTGCATTCTGGCGGCGCTCTCTACTATATATATATATTTGCCTTAATCTCTGATCGGATCGGATATTGTGTATGCCGCAAAACACAGTTAGCTTGACCGCAGGCGGCAGTCGGTCGAATGAGGCCAACAGGTTTTTTTTTATTATTTTTTGGCCAACAGCAAGGCAAAAGTTCTGCAGACTATTCTAGCCATCATCATATCCTAGTTCTAGTCGCGTGGAATAAAAAGTATGCTGCCTTTGGGATGAGGTTTGTAAGCTTAAGAATAACGAAGTTTATGAACTTAAGAAATTAATTTAAAAAAAGTTTAGGATATAGAGAAAAGCAATGACCTCTTTATCTTATTCCGTTTTAATATTAATTATATGAAAGTCAAGGTTTGGAGAGGCTTTACATCCTAAAAGCCTTAATAAATTAAGAAAAATTTAGAAACAGGCAGGATTTGACTTTCTTTTAAATATATATCTAGTTTTATAAATATTTAAAAATAGATTTAAGTTTTCTTAACTTAAGAAGTAATTAGATCATTTCATCACAATACAAATGCAATTGGTTGTTTAAAAAGTCTGTTTCTTTTTTATCACAAAAACTCCATAGGAAACTTCTCTACCGATCGGATTTCCACATTTTCCTGTATATTTTATGTATATAAATTGTATATTATATATATTTTTATAATCAAAACTGTTCCTCTACCTCTTTTCTTAATAATATTTGCCTCAGTTAGCTACCATTTTTTTTGTAGAGAGAGAAAAGGCATCCACGGAATTCGGGTGCTAAAGAAAAAGTAGGTTAAAATCGCGCTTGACTCACGGCTCACAATCGGTCGAAACCGCAGCAGAAGAAGTATTTCCAGAACCGAATTTAAATTTAATCACCTGGTGTTGATTCCCATTAAAGTTGCGCACAAAAACAGGAAAGCGAAAAGCGCAAACACGAAATTGAAACGATGTGAAGCGCGAGATGCGATGAGATGGCCATGGCCGGAGATGATGCTGATTCTGTATGGTTTTGTGGGGGGAAAGGCGAGGTTCTCTCTGATTCCCGATGAGCTTTGTTCCACATTTGCACGTGAGATTTATGCGTGGCTCTGCTCCGGCCACTGGGGGAATGGCCCCTTCTGGTGTTTATTTATACATTTATCGTTATGTGCGTACGCACATATTAATGGATCTATATGTAAATGTACGGCAGTCCCTCAGTCACCTGCGTTCCGAGATTATGCAAAGCAGGAGGAGGAACGGAATGCTCTTTGGCCTGTTTACATCCGCTGCCGTCGAGTTATGCGATGAAGTTTTTGGCTGAAAGAATTTGCAATGGGTTGGGCCCGAAAGCCCGCACGAACGGATGTTGTGGGCGATTCAGCCAAAGCCAAAGCCAAATCCAAAATGTCAACTATTCGCTCCGGGCCTTTAAAGGCAAAGCTGCCAATTAGGCTTTGGGGGAGAGCTCAGCATCAAAAGGTGGATTGGCTAATCCGGCCATAAGCCATAAGCCATAAGCTGGCAACTGAGCCAACAAGAGCAGGAGTTCAAAGTTCAAGTTCAAGTCGGTGGCCCGCACTTGCTGCAACATGAGCCGCTGCTGCTAATGCTGCTCTCATGCATTTGGTTAAGGCCTCATTAAGCTTTCAAATGTAATCAGCTGCTTATTGGTAGCTCTCCAAGTGTGGGAAAGTCAAACATTGTGAGCAGCAATAAATTATGCGGATTGAAATTCAAA